GGCTTTATCGCGCTGCAAATACATCGGAACACTCGGTGGCACGGTTTGATCGTACGATTTACATTTTAAATTTTCAATTAGTGCGTAGGGTATTTGCTAATTTCGCATTCGCTATTTACCACTTCCGTTTTGAGCGATGATAACTGATTGCATAATGGTTACCATGTACGGCTAACCGCATATTGATTTTTATTGATTACAATTCGTCAAATAATCAAATAAAATTCTTTTCAACTTTTACGAACTCAATTATCTTATTTTGATTAAAATTTTATCGGCCCTCGCAATCCTATGTAGGTACATATCGTAATTTTGCGTACGTACGCTCTGGGCTTATTTAAGAACCGCTAATTGGCAATTAATTCCGGGGGCAGCCGGCAGCGTGCGCCAATTACGAGGTACACTCTCGGAATGTGCGCTCCGCCGTAAAATCTCCCACGAAACATGCACTCGGCGTGTGCATGCCGTCCCCACATTACATGCTCTCATATCGACGTGAGTGCTAACCTCGTTGCCAAATTCTATAACCGGCCACTCTCTATTAGCAATCCATTAATCTGCAAACACTAATTTTATTACGCATTGTAATATTTGTAAATCGTCCGTCGGGGTCTCGAGCTCGCTCCGAGTTGCGGGGCGTGTTTTTCGCCGCCGCCATTCGCGCACTTCCGCTAAACTCTCGGCCGGGGCGCATGATGAAAAGCGTGTTTTGCTTTCAATGAACAGACAAATTTGTGTTCATTTGCGGTGTGTGGGAATACACGCAATTTCGGACTGCTGCAAATTGTTGGTCGAATTCATTGGCTCGTTTAATCATGGTTTAGCTAGTAGGCAATTCGCATCGCACGTCATTTTTGTGTGCTAAGAGAAAAAAAAAACATGAACTCTTTAGATCGCGATCGCTTTGTTCTTTATTTTAACTCGTTTTCTGCTGTTTCATGTTTGATGCTGTTATTCCTCCATGCGTGAAACACAATTAGGCAACGGAGCTTAAAGTTTCCATTAATTTTAATCATTTGAGATGACTTAACACAATATCGAGCAAAGCCAGTCGTAGGAATCTTGCTATAGTTGTGTATAAAAATATCTACCGGTCTACACAAATCAAACAAATTTTTTGTTCATTGAACAACAATATTGGATGCAGTCAAGTAAAATTAACTGCAAAAATAAATATGTGCGTATTCCTCGAAAAATGTTTTTATTAAATATTCATTCAAAGAGGGGACTTGGCCCAAAAAACATGTAAAATTGCAAAATAATGTTTGCAATGTAAAACACAACCCATAAAAATGAAGTTCATTACTCGCACAAGTAGAGGCATGCTGTGTTATTTAAATAGGAGCACCGGCCCCCTCCTGCGACACCCCTGTAAACTTCCCGAAATGAGCTCTCTTTACATGGCAGCGAGAAGATGTAACAGAACGAAGTATTAAATGTCTATGAAAAGCCCTCTCATGCGCTGCTGTTGCTAGAAAAGAACAAACAGAAAATTTTTAGTATAAATAAGTAATTTTCCGTCTTGTTTGCGATGATAATTTGGAGAACCGTTCGTTCCACTTGTCGACTCACTCACACTTAAACATACGTGCGTCCATGCTGTGCACAGCTTGGCAATTCAGTGTTTTTCCTCTTCCGGACGTTGCGCAAGCAGGATCCGAAAAGAAAAAACAAGAAAAATGAATAGAAAACATTGCATGGAAATGGCAACGGGCAAAAGTATGAACGCCGTGTGTCCAAAAATTGTGGAAGCGGTAAAGTGGGGTACGTGGGTGTAGGGAAAGAGTGTCGACGTATGCTCTGCGCTCGCTACGTTCACGACCCAGCCATAAAATCGTAATTGGTTCCATGGGGTGCCGTAAAAAAAGGTGCCAGGCGACGTGCGCGCTGCGCGCCGGCGGAGAGGGCACCCGCAGGAAAACAAGAATTCAGGACGAAGCGCGAAAAGCACCAGAAAGCAAAGTGCTTCAGAGGAAAGCAAGGCCAACGCAAGATGATGTAAAATAGAAGCGTTGTGAGTGAGAGGTGTAAAACGACGGGTATGTTATGAAATTCCGAGATTGTACTCTTTATAAATTATGGAACATAACGACCATAGCAAAACATAACATGCAGGATGCACTAGAAAAACAACTATTTTACATATTATTATAAACAAGCACTTAAAACTTTTTATATCAATTTTATTTTTGTTTTTGTATTATTTTGTATTGTACTTGGTTTACTTGGTGTTTGATCATCATCAACAACCAGTTCAAAATGTTCGCTTGGTACATTGTTATATAACTTATTTAAATGCGTCATGACACCGCAACATTCCGGCCCCGGCACCAGCTAGCAGCATACATCATGATATGATTTCCGACATGCCTTGCCGCCCCTCTTTGCCCCGGTGAACCACCGCAGCCGCCACTCGCCACTAGCGCCCTGGGTAGCCTGTTCAGGTTTTCAGCCATGGCGTTTGCTCCACTTCCATGAGATGATGCCAAACACGCTGCACATGGCGTTCATATACAATACGTACACACTGCGCATTCCTCCTCTGTGTGCTTCCATCAACAGCAGCACATCAACCCCTCCTTCCTCGCTCTCTGTATACTTTTGAGCGCTACACTCAAAACCGCATTACATAGTTTACTAGGTTTACTTGCTGTTTTGATACTTGGTGCTTTGGTGCGATAAGGTTTTCGGCAGATAAAATGTGAACATTTATTTTGTTGAGGTTTTTATGCTTTTTAAATGGTAGTTATAAATGGGTACGTTTTAACACTTGATAAGCATCAGGAAACAGAGTTTATAACATGAGAATTTTTAGAAAATCATACGAAAAATGACAGAGGGAAAGAAAAAACGTACAAAAAAAATATTTTTATTATTTGCGAGTTTATGTGGTTTTAAAGTTGGGAAAATCAATCAAAGGATTAAATAATGCACAGTCAGTTTCAACAGATTCATATTTTATAGTTGTAAAACAACGACGAAATATCATAAAGCAAGAATGCTGGCAAAAACAAAAATATGGAAATTTTTAAATCACACATGAGTGCCCGAATGTGCCGGAATGAATACTTGAGCACTTTTCCCGTCGCATTCTTCTTTTCAACTCCCTGGACTTTCTCGTTTCTTGTTCTACACTTAGCTGTGTTTACAGTGGCGTGTGTAAAAAAATAAAAGACATTGGAGTCTGGCACGTGGCACATAATAAACTGCCGGGGAACAATAAAATATTTCCCGGAATTTCCTTTTTATATTCATAAAAAAAGTGAAATATGCATGAATGAAATGTGTTTATTTGGTTTATTATGAATGTTTTAACAAGAAACCGTTTTTTATATAAAAGAGATGTTTGGTTAGGTGAGGTTAAGGCGTGGCATGACGTGCAAGTCGCATTTGTATCGTTCCGTTCGTTGAGTTCCAGCGGTGTTGTTACATGGACAGGCGTGCGCGCGTATTTGTTTTCGCTATAAATTTATAATTATGCCCGACGGGAACATAATTTCGGCGGAGCCGTGAAACTAGTTTCAGGCGAGTAATTGCACAGCGCCGGCAATCGTTCAATTTAAGTTGTTACTCATTTAACTTACACAATTTACACATTTACATCGCATATTGATTGATAAATTATTATCTCGAAATGACGAAATTATTTTAACATCGCAATTCTCCCAATTGTTCATCGGAACATTTTTCGAGGAATAGTTTCTGCAAAAGTTTTATTCAGTTGGCACAAGAAACACATATGAAACTCTCATTCCGGCGTGTTATGAACGCTCGAATACTTTCGTTCAGGACTGAGTTTAGGCGATCATAGTTAAGATTTCTAGTCTCGCTTTTTTTCCTCTTTCTGAGAAAGCGCGCGTCAAACAAGAACATAAAGCATCGACTTCGGACGAGGCCAATCAAGAGAGGTGTTGCAAAACACGTGAGTTGATTACGCCTTTCAGAAATTACAGGATGCCGAATTGATCTTCCCCCATCCACACGCTCTCTAACAAAAGAGTATAGCTCACGCTTCCGCGCTTCGTAGTTACTTGTTTTGTTCCGCTCCACGAGCGCGAAGAACGGAAGCAGTGCTCTGAATAAGTATCAAATTATATACTGGATGTTTAAAAGTACATCCACAAAATAATTCTCATAAATTTATACTCTTTATATTATTTTAAAAATATAATAAAATTATATTTATAATATGAACAAATGAGAATATTTCGTACATTATTAATTTGTTTTCTTTATAAAAGCGTCTCTCTTGTGACGAAAGTGCAACATGCTTTTTTGCAACCGGAAATAAGCACGCACGACGTGATATACTGCCTTCGGGGATTATGATAAACACAGGCGAGGCGAAATTCTTCTCGGAGATGCGCAACTCGATTAAATTCAAGTCATACGTGTTACAAAGCAAGACGCGCCGGTAGACATCATCCATCTTTTAGGCCGCTGGCATTCTTTTGATATAGTAGATACCTACTGAAATTTTAACCAGCCCCAACCACATCTTACGTGGTTGCACCCGCATTTTGAAATTCTTAGCGATTGCAAGTGTGGTATTCTTATCTTGTGCGATATGCTGGTGCAGCCATCTTTGCATCTAATCAGAAAAGCTAATTCATTTCGTTCCCACGCCTGCAAATGTGTCCTAATGCGCTATCAACGCTTTCATGTTTGGACTACGCTTGGGTTGCACGTTTTGAGCACGACGTGCAAACAACAAACAGTGCTCACTCCGAATTTGGCATCGTCGGCACGAATGGGACTATGGGATTGTGTACCAGAAAACACTAGATTACTTTTGCAATGTTACGCAGGCATTTGTAGATTTGGTTGCAGAATCATTTTTGCGCACGTGGCAAAAAGTTAAACACGCTTTGGGATAGATAACTGGCAAAAAGAGCATAAACATATGTATTTGTTCGCAATATGCAATAAATTTTTGACAGTGAATTTGATTGTATATTATTTTAGAATTTAATCTTTAATTAAATTAATTATGTTTACAGGTTTCCAGCAGCGCAGGCATGGTGTCCCACTTTGTCAATCTAAAGATTGTCATCCCGGAAGCAACAATACAAGGCTCCGGAAGCGGAGAACATCACGTAGATATAGGCAGCGTTATTGATTTAGTGTGTATCATAGAAAAGGTAAGTTCTGATAGGTAGAGTAGTTTTATGTTTTGTTTTCTATATTTTTACGCCTCGATTTTTTAATCAAAATGGTTGTGCGCGGTAAAATTTTCGAAAATATTGATCGAAACTCTTTTAATTTCCGCAATGGAAATTAATAGCTTTATTTTGCTTCCCTCGCTGGCGTCCAATTTGCATCAGACAAAAACAAAAATAGAAAATTTGATTATACACATATATTTACATTAGCAGCAATAAAATGTTAAATTTAATTTATTGCTGGCTGCATTCTGCACAATTTTTTAACTATTCACATGGTAATTTCGTGCGAACGCAAAAGTAACGAAGCGTGCGATGCTGGTTTAATTATCTTGATTTTATTCGGTTTCGTCGACCCTGCACCGACTGAATATGTTCGAGCTAGTTCATTCAGTACGATTAATTAAACCCATTTTATATCGCACATATTCACATACGATGTGATGAATGAGCGCAATATGCATGCGTGTACAGTGTGTGGACAAACCGGCGACTGCAATTACAGAATTGCTTTATAGTGATCTAAAATAAAATAGATTGCGGCGATGCTCTTAAACTTGTTTCAAACTGAATATATTATTTAATAATAGTTTATTTCAAACTACCCTTCAATTCATTATTATTTGGAAGATATTAATAATATACCAAAATACATGTCATTAAATGTGGTCGCTCACTTTTCATGATTATTATTATTATTATTATCAGGATACAATAAACTTATTTTCGGAAAATAGAAATCTGCAGGGCATCCCAATCTCCGCGCGCAATGTTTACACAACTTAATTAACGTTGAGCGAAATTTAAAGCGAGTTGAACTTGACTGCACGCCACGTTCTAGTTGATAAATTGTTTTATTTTCTGAAAATTGTTTGCGCGCACTTTCAGCGCTGCCCCCCATCCATGCGCCAACTCCGAATGTGTTTAGTGTTTTGGGTTTTCCGTGGCGTCAGCACGGCCACTTCACGTTTCTGCATAGCAAAATAGTTGCCGCTAGTCGCAAAAACATTTTCGGCTCTAAAACTTTCAAATTCCGCGCACACACTAACGACAAGCAACGCATAAAATGCTTTTAGAAAAGTTTATGTCGTATACATAATATAAATATCACTCAATTCATACAAGTATTTTAATCAGTCAAACTTTTAAAAATATTAAAATTGTAGTTTTTCGCAGGAGGAAAAATGAAAAATTGAATTTTAAGCAATTCTCAATACAGGATCATTTATACCTTCTTCTTCACTGCATACAACCGAAACTCTTGCGGGTTCTGCACGCATGCATAACATTTTGGATGGTAACCAAAAGGTCCAACGTAGCGTGCATATTTTTGCATATCTCGAGCACATATCTGGCGTACGCTACGAGCGAGTCAACTTTTAAATGATGAAGTTGAACCCTCCAGGTTTCGAGACGAAATAGGATATCACGCCACGGTCGTGTGTCACGTAAAACATGCACGTCCTGAGAGTAAGAGCCATCGCGTCCTTAGCAGATTTAAATGCTATACATCTCGAGAAAGTCGGTGCCGCTCGAGTCGACGGTCGAGATGGAGGCGGTGGCAAAGGCGGCAGCCAAGTTGATAGTCGCTTACACGGCGTGGGTAGAGAAGCCGATAACATCGTTATCCTTTACATTACATTAAGTTTATATGCATTGCGATAAGGCCGTGTGCGTTGTGTACTGGTGCTACCAAAAAGATTTACATACCAGACGATTACGTTAGAGTAATAATTAATTTCAGAAACTTTTTAAGCAAGTTTTTATTCTTTTGAAAGAAAAAAAATTGGCGAGTAAATTAAAATAACCATGTTTGCTTCGTGAAAAACTACGTCTATAACAGCTATACACATGCATGTACCGGTTGAGTGGTTCGGGGTAAAAGTACGACGCCGGGCAAGGACGAAGGACGGCCACGTTTTCGGCGCGGTGATTTATCGCTGGCTTAATTCGACCGCAAGTGAGCAAGTGGAGCCGGGCCGGTGGAGTAACTGGGCGCCACGAGGCTTGGAAGTCAGTCGTTTTCGGCTAGGTCGCCGAGGTTGGCAAGCTCGAATTCATCTACATACGCCTGCGGGCCACGTCGGACTGCAAACGATTCCAAAACGACTTAGGGAATTAATAACGCCCGGTTGCGTCGCCCACATATGCAATAATATATTCGAACTTTGGGCATTGGTTATGCGGAACACCATTCTGCGCGATTTTTTTCTAGGAACAAAATCTGCAATTGATTATGATATAATTCCGCATAAAACGAAAGAAAAATGTTTGCCTCTTTAGCCATTTTGTCTGTTTATTATTTAATTTGAGGTTTTGTTTGTATAGTGTATATTATGGCAAATCAGCACAATTAGCGTAGGAATATAGCTTTGACCGCGGGTTGAATCTGAAAATGCAAACAGTAAACGTAGCGAAAGGCCATCCATAACGTTGTATTTAGATCTGCTAGTATCTATTTTAGGCCGAAACTGTTTGACCGAGCTCGCGGCATTATCGATAGTTGAGCGTCGCCCGATCGACGTCGGCGATGCGGAACAATGCTTCGTTAATGGTTAACCAGTCACGTTAATTAATCAACAAACAATGTAATCATTATGAAGTGTTGCGTCCCTTTGGCGACATAACTTCCTGCCACCAGAATTTTTTAGTGAATTTACCCCATATAGCAATAACAATCGAGAAATTATTTATTATTATTTTTCTTTGAATATAAACTTTGAAAGCTTTCTATTATTAAGTGTTGCTGGTTCTTGAAGGAAAATTCTTATCTTTAGTTATCGTTAATTGGATTTATTGAATTCATGAATTATGAATATGTTTATAAAGTGCATCGGTTCTTTTCTTTTCTACTGCTCGACTAGTTTGAAGAAAGATTTTAACAACTTCCTGAAATATAAATATCTTACACTTCGTTCTGATTTGTTCTTACTTTAGTGCATTACATCCCACTTGGTTCTTTTGTCTTTTCGTCGAGTGCATTCGTTCGGAAAGTTTACTCCACCCGGCTTCTTCTTAGGCCGCTTTGCGCTTTCCCGTCAGTCGTTTCAAAGTTCCTGTTTGGCGATCGATTTCGAAGCGGTGCGGCGCGTTCGTACGGTTCGCTTAGTCGCCGCTTTTAGTTACACAGTTACTCTTTCAGTCTGTGTGTGCTTCCTACACTTTTTTGCAACTATCCTCGTCGAGTTTGCCGCGCCGGAGCGCCGTTGCGTTGTACCTCTCGAAAGGCAGCTTCTTATTTAATTTAATAGACGCTCGAATCCGTTATTAATCCGCTGGAGCAATGCGCTCGCTGCACTCAACGCGTCAATTATATTCGGCGCTAGCGTCTAGTTTTGCATCGGATTGACTTTGGCCTGCATACGGAACCGGCAGACAGCATTTGATTGAATAACTAAGTTTGGGCAAACATAGGAGCGTTATTCAGGCGCCTCCACCAATATAAATTTCGGGCAGCGTAGAGATTCTCTTAACCTTTGCGACATACGACAGGTTCTATATTGTTATACGTCATAATGTTATTATGCTAATGTTTTAACCGCAACAAAAATTGTATTTTTTTGCGAATTCTTAGTTCACTTGGTGGATTTCACGCTACGTGCAAGAGGTAACTCGATGCGAGTTGCGACTTGATGCATGTTTCCACATCCGATTCGCCACTCATTCGGTATTCTACGCGTGCCACCGTCGCTGACGTCGCCGCAGCCGTTCGCGACGAGTACTTGGCGTTTCTTGTCGGTTTCCGAAGTTTGCGACGCGACTTTCGGTCCCGCCCGAATTACAACGTCGCGCGACACCGCGAAGTTGGCAACACATCACGCATGATGGTCATGACGTCATTTCCGCGTTATAAATTTGTTTGCGTCTCAAACTTTGCCGAGGTTCTCGCACATGGTGCTAAAACTACTATTACTAGAAGTGCAAAAACTCTAACGGATGTTAAACCAATTTGTAAAGCATATGTTTTATATAGCTTTGCAGGGATATTATAATAAGTAATGTATTGCTATGAATGTTAGAAAACTAAGTGAGGTTATGACCGTTATAACTATGGCGGCGACTCTTAAATGATGACCAATAACGGGTCGTTCCCTTACTTGGACTGTAGCGACCTCTTTGCTACTTGAGGCTAAGCGTAACGCCGCGACGTCACGTCCGCCGGTGTTAAATTACCGCATATACCGCGACTCGCACAACGCGCCATCGCAAACGTGCTCTGCATACCCTGACTGACTTTTCCGGCATAGGTTCCACCTCTAACTGGCGCATTTTACGGCGCGCCATAGTTTCCTATTCGACGTGTGCGCCAAACTTACCGCGTGCGATATTTTTTCTCCCCGGCATGCACGTTATGTAATATGTTTCACCACGTGTTCGTATAGTTTTATTTTTGGAATGTTTTCTCTCATTTTACCATGTCTTTTTGTTAACTTCTGTTGCACCATTTGCAGCTTTTGGCATTGACGTCGTGTATAGTTTTGGCTGAATGCACTTGAAGTAAAACAGGAAAACATATCAAACTTTTGCATACGAACACGAATAACGCGTTTTTCTCACCACGAAACCCAAGCATTTGCTTTATTTGCGCATCGCGTTTTACTGCATGTCGTTTTTTCTGCTCGACTTTTTTCGCCACGGCAACAAAAGTTGTATATTTACATCGGGTACGTGATTAGAAATTCATAGCTCGTGTTCTGAAACTCGTGCTCAGTTTTCGTGCGCGTTTTGGTTCGACTGCTTGGTTTCGTTTCGTGCCGGCGCGCTGTTGGGAACTTAAAGCTTAAACGACTATGAATATGTACGAATTATTTGTGCATACTTTTCGTTCTTTCGTTTATACGTTTTACTTGCCGCCAACTTGGTGTGTGCGACCAGACGCATAAACTACGAATAGAAATGCACGCAAATTACTTTGGCTGAAACGAAATATTCGACGAACTTTCATACACATATTTTATATTGTTCCTTCGATTTCCGGCTTCTGCGAAGCATTTCTATTATAGCTGCTTTTTCATTGAACCCAAACCGTTGCTGTTTGCGTGGCCTCAATTTCTTCGCAGCGTTTGAGCTGGATATAACAAAACGGCGATGGCGCACATTTACGATAAGTACAAGCGACGAGTAGTTAGAAGAGTTCTAAGTTCTACACTAAGTCCGCGTTGAAATGTTGCACCGATGAGGAAAAAAAACTGAACCGAGCAGAAAAACTTTACATCATCAAGTTTTCTTCTGCGTGGCGCTTTTTCATGCAAACGAAATCGGCTGCTTGGACGTTCTTTTCTTCTATGCGTCTTTCGTTCCAGTTTGTTAGTTTTATAACATTTTGATTACCATAATTTTGGAGTTTACTACCTTTTCCTGTTCAACTATGCAAACTATGTGGTTTCATAAAAATGCCTGCACGAAAAAATAGCGCTCTAGAGTTTCAAAAGATAAATTTGCCAAAAATAAAAGTTATGTAGCTTTTAGAGTTTGGGATTCTTCAAGTCAAATGCGGACTATTTCAGTTGCCTCTTCCATTGTGAGATAATAGAGTAAACCATTATTACATAATGCACAAAATGTAAATTTTTAAAGTTGTACAAAAAAATCTTCATTTCTCGCGACCATCAATTCCTTAGATACATTTGTTGAAAGCCTCATACTAATATCCCTGGACGAGGAGAGACTTCAGAAGAGAACTTTTTTTAATACCAACTAATACGTCTGTTCGTTTCTTATTTCGTTCTTTAGCTTGCCTTGGTTTATACACATTTTTCAACGGTCGCGCGATTGGATTCCCCAAAGATTTTCCGATTTGATCTCCGCGCTCATTCTTTCTCCCGAAACAAGCGAGCTTGCTTACAAAAGCTGAAAAAAGTGCAATTCGAACTGATGATAGACAATATATAATTCGAATTCTTGCCTTGAAAAAATGGAAGAAAAAAGAACTTCTTTATACTAATACGTCAGATTTTTATCTTCGTACATTAACTAAGCCGATTTGTTGGTGCTGCTCTAATTTATTGAAGGTATATATAACTAAATATTCTCGAGAACATTCTTAACACTGTCGAAAGAAAGATTTCAGAACCAAACAAAAAAGATTGAATGTTTAATCCTGCGCGCTTTCACGGTAAGGTTCATTAATTATTTTTGCCCGTGCTTTTGCAATTTAGGTGCGTACTTGCGTATTAACCACTCGATGTTGACGTTCATCATTTGGAAGACGTTGTAATGGTGGAGTTATTATTGAGCTAGGGGCACAGTTGGCGCGAAGAGCGTAATGATCGCGCGCGCTCCCTTCGGTGGGCGCTTAAAAAATAATTTATCGAAATGATGAATCGCTTTTTTGCAGAGCCCCACGCCACCGCAGTACGTGTTCTGGTATCACAATGATCACATGATAAATTACGACACTGCCAGGGGCGGCATATCCGTGGAGACGGTGCCCGGCGCGCGTACACAGAGTCGTCTTACCATTCGAGATACTAACGACGCAGACTCCGGTAACTACACCTGCTCAGCGAGCAACACTGAGCCGGCTTCCATCTTTGTTTTTGTGTCCGAAGGTAAAACATTGGCTAGACTTATTTAATAATTGAATAAATAGTTTTTACTCATCCTTGGATGTTTTCCTTTTTTAAGGAGATAACGTCGACGCCATATTAATGAGAAAATCATCGTGCGCCATGTGCATAGCCAGCCAACTCTTCTTACTTTTATCAGCGAGCCTGGCTGCAGCTCTGCGATAGAAACAACTACATGTGTAAAACGTGGAAAAAGCACTGCAAAGCTTAAAACACAGAAGAAGAGGAAAGCAATCATAACCGCCGCTATGCAAAATAAACTTTTGTTTTCGATGAAAAACAATATGGAAACTGTGAATATGTTTGGGCACGTGATGGACATTTTAATGGGTGACATCTATTGAAATTAGCATAATTCATTGTGTAGCATAATTTTAATTAGGTAATTAGATCATAAGAGAGGAGACACAAACAACAAAATGCAACCTAACAAAGTGAGCGCAGAGACAAAACGAAATTAAAGATCTAAGGAGTACTCAAAAGCGTTGTAATTAGTATAAAATCGGATGACGTATCTTATTACTTTTAATTAATGTTAAGCCCAAATGTTGGATGAATCCGAGTCATAAATGTGAGAATGAAATCTTCAATCTTTAAGGCATTCAAACAAATTGGAATGCGGACATTTTAGGTGTACTTAATGAAAATAATAGAAATTAGATATGTAATATGAAAGTATTACCTACTCTTAACAACAAATACGAAACAACAAGGAATTATCAGAACTGAAGACACAAATGCTGCACAAAAAGTAAACATTGGCGTAAATGTTCAATACAGTGTTGATAAAGAATTGAAACTCTTAAGGTCGATGTCAGGTTACAATATGCGTAAGATTTAGAAAACAAATTGAGTATGTATCGGTACATCTTTGAAAATGGTATTTATAAATTCATTATTTAATCAGTATCTAATGTAAATTCACATTTTTCACAATTACCACAATGAGAGCAACAAAACTTGTACATACCTTTAAATTGGTTGTTAAATACTTTGTAAATCTAATTTTTATGTAATTTAATCTCAGTTGTTTAGAAAACAATTTGGCGCATGGAAATGCGCTTATAAATGTGAGGTGGAAGTATCAGTTCAACTATTATAGATCAGATGTTATCGTAATGAAATTTTGTTTTACATATCTACCTCACATTTAGTTCAAGCCAAACACATCTGGCTTTGAAAATTGATAAAATATTAAAAATTGAGTGTTGCCAAAATAAATTACAATTACAATTGTTTTGAATATCATTTTCTCAGCGAAGAAATTTAGGCAACGATATTAATTAGTTTTGTTTGTTTAAACTCACATTAGGTAACCAAATACGGCATTGTTCTAAACACATCTACTAAATTCTAGATTAAATATTTATAATTACTAGTCATTTCTTTTGCTGTACATATACATTTACCAAAAGATGAAATGGTATAAAGACCATAAAACTTAGCTGAAAATATAACGAATGAGTTGAAGAATATTTCCATGTGGAAATCAATGACCTGAAACAAAGTTTAAACAAATAATGTAACATGTAATAAACTGAAGTCACCTCTTCGGAAAATTTCCGAGTTTGACAATGATGGCACTGCTTTAGGAAGCAAGATGAAAGGGTCAACTCGAAAATTTTCAGAAACCTAATACCCTAATCAATTATAATAAATTAACAATAAAATCTATAAGAGTAGAGATGATAAAGTTCTGGCAAGAAAAAACGCAGACGAAATCTGTTTCATCAGGATGTTTTCAAATATTTACTATAAATATACACATATGGGCATAATTAAAATTTGATGACAAAGGTCGCTTCAATTTCTTCGAATGCATCATTATTCAAATGAAATGTTACCAAAATTCATTTCTGTTGTTAATCTAATTCTGCGAATTACGAGTAACACTCGCCAGTTCTTAATGTTTGTTTTGATGCGAGTGAATGCAAACAAATGTGAAGATATGTGTACTTGTGTGACAAATTCTAACAGACGTAAAACAAAACGTAAACTAGTTTATTATAACGTGTAACTGAGCAAGTGAATTGGCGACTTTGTCAATCAAAATAAGTCTGAATGAGTATCACATACTAAGAGCAAAACTACATTCAATTACATATGTACATGTTAATAGTATAATCATCAATTTGCTGAATGATTCAACAATCTTTTTATTCCCTGAAGTAAAAGTAACGTTTTTTCCGGCCACCAATGCCGTAAAATAACTGAGGAACATTTTTACTCTTAATAAAATAACATCCATTCCACTCCATTCCATATGATTTTATCACTGAGCATAGGTTGTGCGAATATTATTAAAATATATACCATTAAATAACGTATAGACAAATGGTTATTAAATAAATAAATTGGTGAGTAATACATATTTGGAAAGCGAAGAAACAAGAGGTGAAAAATATGATGAAAACTATCACAAACAAATAAAAAGAGCGCATTATAACATTAATTTTTGTTGTTATTTACAATTATTACGATTAACAATGTAAATGTGAATTTGGTTTTAATATTCACTAAAAACATAAAATTAATCACAAGAATATGTTTGTAATTGTTTATCCCAATTTATTATTGAGAAAAGAAAACGGAGCATACTGAAATTGTGAATTTGAAACAACACTCAGTGTGACTCCGACTCTCAAGGTAAGAGAAAACATATGTGAAACCATTTGTAGTAATTACAATTAATTTATTTTAATGTGGTTTTTATTTGGATACTTGTTTTGTTTATGTTGTTTACAAAGAGTTTAATTATCTAATAGCATTATTGATATTCCATTTCTAATTATTGCTTCATAACTATAGTCCAGAAACATGTTCATTTTCTCAGGATGTCCCAGTCCGGCGAGATCAACAATTTTCATTTTATACGTAAATTTTACTTCTATACTGGTTTATTTCCGAAGTTTGACATTAATTTTGAATCACATAGCTTTAGTTATGTCAAAGTGACATTAATAGCAGTGTCGTTGTTAACAATTCTGGTGGTTAAACAAGTTTTTGATGACATTCATGATGGCAATGCCGCAATTCGGAAATATTTATTGCTATCATCTACAGCAATCAATTATTTACAGATAATTGTATGTATTATTAAATTTTCACTTGTAGACGTCAAAAGTTTAGAAACAATTTTCTGGTTGCTAAAGAAAATTGACGCAACATACCAGCACTGGAAGCAAAATGTACCAAGAACAAGTATTAAATGGATTCTGTTTGTGTGCGCGATAAGTGATGGTTTATTCTGTGCTGAAGGAGTGCGTGTATTTTCAGATTTTCCAATTTATTTTATCATGATTGGCCTGATTGATCAAGCATCAAAAATTTATGTCGGATTTATTATAAGTTTGATTCTTTATTTTCTCATTGCAATTAAAATGCGCTTCGTTAAACTGAATACATTCTTAGAAAAACTAGCGTCGAAAGAAGAAAGATTAGATTGTGTAACACTTGACTTGGTTGTTGCATTACACAATAATTTGTGCAATACTTGTAGAGTATTTCAAGATATTTTTGGCATGTCTCTGCTTTTAATCTACGTGGAAAATATGTTTTTTACCCTGGGAACATTAAGTATTGCGTTATATGCCCATTTTGAAAGTCTCGAAAAAGCAATAATATTGTACTCATTGTTGACATTAAATATTGTAAGTATATCTCAACAAAATTCAACAATGATTTAACGATTTCTTATTGTATAGATGCAAGGAATCAGCATTGCATTTCTGTGTGATGGTATTAGTGAAGAAGGAAAAAGAACCACAAGCATACTCTTCAATTTTATAAATCTACATGAGTATCGCAATGGATTACTTGTTAAAAAAATGAATTATTTTCTTCAGCAATCAATTGCTAAGACACCTTCGTTTTCCGCATGTTCTTTCTTTGTAGTCAATTATTCTACTATATTTACATTAGTTAATCTAACTCTCACTTACATTATTGTACTCATACAATATAAAAATACAAACTAAAATATATACTTACCGATAATACCTACAACATTTTAATTCAATCAGTTCTACTATGTCGAAAAATAGAAGGTCGTGTGCCATCGGCGCGCCGCCTATTGGAATGTCTTACTTTATCTTATCACAAGCCGTCGGCCGCGTGCATGCTCGACAGGTTTGTTTTGTCGGTGGACTGTAGCCAGTTTCGTGCTGGTTGCCCGTTTAGACACGTCTCCGTGCTCGTGTGATTCTTTAGCATTTAATTCCGTAAAATCGCGATATATTCCATCAACAAACGAGTGTATTTAGTTGTAACAACGTGAACGGTGTCCTGTGTGGTTTTTGATTGCGTCTATAAAGTGTACCTTTCATGCATATGGCTGCGGTCTTAACAATTATTAGTGTATGTCGATGCAGAATTGTGTGTAGTGCTTATCATCATCTTTGACTAACTTTTATATTTAATGCAGCCAATTTGTTTTCGTCGCTAGGAACGCTGTTTGCGCCTGGGTAAGAAACATCATCTGTTCTGTTCTTCGACGGCTTTTTTTTCCCTTTATTGCAGTACATGCCTTGTCTCACATTCTCATTGACTTAATGCTGGTAAGTTATTATTGTAACTTTATTATTGTATTAAAATAGTTTTGAGATCGCGTTCCAAGTGCCTGTGACCATGACACAAATGGTCACTTGTCGTGTTTAATATACCTGCGGGTATAACCTTTCTAACTTTAAAACCGTTTGGAATATTTACATGTTTTCTTTAGATTATGATAGCGTGAGAATTATTCTTCACGATACGCCATTGCCGCCCCCCAAAATCATGCTGAAAGTGCCTTAAAATCGCTCTCGAACTTTCACGATTTTCATGAATTTTTGAAACACGCGGTTAAAATTTGGCTGTATCTCGGGAACCATTCGTGCGATTTTAATGATTCTATCAAATTTGCATAGCGCGAGAGGCATTTTATACGATACGGCCTTGCAGTCCGCCGAAATCACGCTAGATGTGCCTTAAAATCGCTCTGAAACTTATACGATTTTAGTGATTTTTTGAAACACACGGTGGAAATTCGGTTGTATCTCGCGAACCGTTTGTGCGATTTCAATGAATCTTTCAAATTTAGAGAGTTCGAGAGTTATTTTCTAAGATGCGACCTTGCAGTCCGCCGAAATCACGCTAGAAGTGCCTTAAAATCGCTTTGAAACATATACGATTTGAGTGATTTTTTTGAACACACGGTGGAAATTCGGCTGTATCTCGCGAACCGTTTGTGCGATTTCAATGAATCTTTCAAATTTCGATAGTTTGAGAGTCATTTTCTAAAATGCGACCTTGCAGTCCGCCGAAATCACGCTAGAAGTGCCTTAAAATCGCTCGGAAACTTATACGATTTTAGTGATTTTTTTAAACACACGGCGGAAATTCGGCTGTATCTCGCGAACCGTGTGTGCGATTTCAATGAATCTTTCAAATTTAGATAGTTCGAGAGTCATTTTCTAAAATGCGACCTTGCAGTCCGCCGAAATCAGGCTAGAAGTGCCTTAAAATCGCTTTGAAACTTATACCATTTTAGTGATTTTTTGAAATACACGGTGGAAATTCGGCTGTATCTTGCGAACCGTTTGTGCGATTTCAATGATTCTTTCAAATTTAGATAGTTCGAGAGTCATTTTCTTAGATGCGACCTTGCAGTCCGCCAAAATCCCTCTAGAAATGCTCTAAAATCGTTATTCAGTTTCCCTGAATAAAGTCACTTCTACCGCTACCCTCGTACGGTGCCCTGAATAAAGTCACTTCTACCGCTACCCTCGTACGGTGGCCTTAATAAAGTCACTTCTACCGCTACCCTCGTACACAATTATACATAAAATATAATACATAAAACATAAATATATAAAGTTTCACATTTGTTCTTATTAAATTAATGTAATAACTTATATGAGCCGTTTATTTTGAAAGTGACCTAACTCCGTTTTTCAATTTTTTACCGGTTACCATGGTTACATGTACAACTTCATGTTATTTATCAGTGACACACGTCAGATTGCTTATATTCAGAGAAAATACGGTACATTTTTTACACATAGGTTTTCCGAATTAATTGAATAACTGACCCGTGTGGTTTGAAAGTGGCCTAACTCCATTTATAGTTACATCAAGGTATTTACTATTGATAATAACGGAAAGCAGCGATGAAGGTAATTTCAATTAATTAGTATTTACAAGTCCACCTCATTTTGGGACAATTGCGTTAGTTAATTAACCTGTACGTTTAATTAATATAAAACTTAAAATATAATATTAAATTATAGAAATTATTACACCCATGAGGAAGAACCGAAGAAGACCACTTAGTTCAGATAGTGAAAAGAAGTAGTAATTAATAATTAAAAAAGCGAATAAGAAAAAGAGTCATAGAACAATATTCCTCGTCAGAGGATGAAGATTCAAATAACAATGGAGAAAAGATAGATGCACCATATATCCAAAAAGTGCGAAAGATAGAACGGAATTCAGGAAAAAGATATTGCAGTTAAACCGGAAGTATTGTTCATGAAAAAATTTCGAAACAAAGATTGTGGTTGTCGGAATGCGTGCACAAAAATTATAATGAAGAAGAAAGAAAGAACATTTTTGAAAAGTTTTGGGGTTTGGCAGATTTTAACAAACAAAATGTATTACTTCACGAAGCTGTCTGTGAAACGAAGACGTTTTTTTTCTTCAATTTGAAACATCTTAAATTATGTTGAATGGACTTGGGCATCTTCAAATTTTATAATGAATCTGGCTGTTAATTTTGAAAGTGGCCCAACTCCATTCTTGATAAGGAAACGCACGTTATTTACTTAATAATTGCCACTATTTTAACTGGAACTTTAAATTTAACATCCTTAGATACGCTTAAGCAGTATGACTTCTTTGTATCTTATACATATATTTTTAAATTCATTGAAACGCAAAACTTTCAATATCTCGATTTGAAGATAAATGGAGTTAGGCCACTTTCAAAATAAGCGGCTCATATAATTATTTATTTCAATTTTACGATGTGTAGTGTACGAGTATAACTGTATCACTGTTGCACTGAAATGAAAATAAGTGGTATTTTACTGTCCTACATACATATAAAGTGAGAGTAACCTTTTCAAAAACACCAATTATTTAATTAACTAAGGTATACAATAAATTCTTTTCGTATGCCGAGAAAAATGGAAAGTAAAAGTAAATTTTGTGTATGTGTATTTCAGCATTGTGAATTTTTAGTTTCGTCTTCTCAACTACGTGTTTATCAGTACGTTTGTGTACAAACAACTTTTTTTGTTCGACGGACTCGTTATATCGCTGCATACCTGCCTTGTACCCGGCTACGCGCAGCGCACATGGCAGTTGTTTCACCGCGTGGTCCGCGAGCGTGTCTCTAATCACCACGCGTTTTGAGGTTTTAATTGGATTAATCGTCGTGTATTCTTTTGGCCATCGACAAAATATTCGCAATGGGCATGTGTGCCTGTTTTGTTTAATGATTTATGGCGGATAGAGTCTTCTTAAGTAAGAAATAAGTGTCCGTTAATCCCTGCGCGAGTTTTCAGCTGATAGAATATATTACATGGTCGAAAATCTCCTCATCAATGCACAGGTGGGTGGATAATTAAAACTTTTCGCGGAAAGTTAAGGCGGTTTAACTTAAATTGACATGCTTGATTTAAAAGCACGTTTTTTGAAATTCATGGGTCGACCACGCTGACTTTGCCGTCGGCCGTCGGTTCGGTCATGTTTTTGTTGATCACGTAAACAGTTTTAATCGAATTGCATCATTAAATTAATAATTTCTCGTTGAAATAAAATCTTGAACGGTGAATAGTTTTTCGTTTTCGAAGTCTCGGTGCATGTTATTTACAAAAAAATAGTTATTTTTATCGTCTTTAACCATTGTGTTGCTACGCACCGTCGCTTGCCGTCTGTTGATTTAGATGTTTTCCGCCGTATATTCTATCAAATTGTAATGATGCTTCACCCGTCGACTACCTTATACAGTTGATGCTACCATCAATTAATAAATACATATTCACAATATATTAAAATGTAAGTGTTTTATTTTTGTAGCACCCTTTTGCTCAATATTTCGGGTAAAATCTTTGATTTTATACTAAAATAATAATAATCTCTGCTTGAACATGGAATTTTCTTTCTAGAACACCCTGTATATGTATGTTTTCTTTTGTGTCCATGAAAATGTAGCTTTAGTTGTCATTTTTTGAATTTTCCCGTTTGCACTTTGAATTTTCTTTCTGGAACACCCTGTATATTAGTTTTCCTGACCGTCGAGTGAAAACGAGCGGCATTTGTAGTGTTGAGAGTTTTTTGTTTGCACATTAAATTTTTCTTTTGTAGCACCCTGTATATTTGTCTCCATTTTCAATCACCTACAAAATTACTAATTATCTATTTCCTAATTTCCTTATTTCGGTAGAACTTTATGAAGTAGTACTTGCTGGCATGTGCGCGGCTATGGAGGTCGTAAGTCTTGTTTCAATATGGAGCCATATATTTTGTTGACTCGTAAAATCTAACCTTGTATTCTATTGTTAATAAAGAAATAGTAAGATATATTATATTGACTTCTTTGATTTTTGTGTACCCCTTCTATCATTTCAGGAACAGGTCTCTAAGAGAGTTCCTCTCTCAGGGATCATCCCCACTATAAAAATTGTTGAGGTATCCTGTATGATTTATGTACTCCATCTTTCATTTCAGCGACAGGTCAGAACTTGTAAGAATATTTTTAAGTGTCACCTCACTTGAGGCGACTTAAAACTTATGAAATATTTTTATAAGTTCTTAAAAGGATGTCCTTATAAGGAGTTCTCCCACTCGGGGGATGATCCCCCACCATAAAAATTGTTGATATGCCTGAGAATTCCGGGGATGAAGCGCAGAGACATCGTAGCTGTAGGATGGGCCGGGAGCAATGGATAGACCGAAGCAGAAGCCTCCGGCGCTCTGGGAGATCGACCGTAGACTGTATTATAACGACACGTGCCAAAAAATTTAAAAATCTGATCCTCCCCTCCTGTTTTCTCTTCTCTTCTATCTCTCCTCCTTCTTCTCTGCTCTACTCTCTATTCTCTTCCTTCTGTCTTCTCCTATTTTCTTTACTCTTTCTATTTCTCTGTTCTCGTTTCTCCACTTGCCTTCACTTGTATTTCAATTTCTCCTATATTTCGTTGCAATTCATATGTGCAACCCAATTACACCTGATATTTTTATATTTGAGAAAAATGCCTTCCGTACCTGAGATTCGATCCGTGTCTGCCAGCATGCCAGCAGGTGCACGTCTCCACTCGACCACCGAGTGTTTTTATTATTTATATTTGATTCTTCTATTTATGCGTCTACTTTATAACAACTTTTTAAAAACAACAACACAAGCCTTAGCTATGTTGCACTCACATAAGCTTCATATGAAATATGATTTAAGACTCATATCCTGAAAATGACAAAGAGGATGTAACAAAAAAGTAGGAATAAGATTTTAATTTTAAATTGAGTTTTATTGATTATATTTAACATACATTCCTTTTTCTTATTTTAATAAAACGAACGTATGTACGATCCAAGGCAGGATATGCCGTACCATCGAGCCACAACGCTCTCTTATCAAACGTTTCACATAAAGTAGAATTGTTAGTAGAATTGATGTTACTAATCACTGTATTATTTTTGCAGTAACAACTATACCACACGGAGAGAACGCGTTATTTATCGCGTCTAATTAACAATACCATTTTGGCCTATAAATCCAATTGGAATCCGTAGCCTAACGTAAGAGATCCGACGGCTGATGGCTTACACACGCGCACGTGGTGTCTTAAGTTTCGAGTCGATTCGAGATAAATCACTTGTTCATTATATTTTTTTTATTATTTTCTAAGTTGAATACGTAATCCATGGTAGTAATTTATAAAATATATTTATTAAAATAATTTTGTGATTTTCTTGGATTTTACAATTTTCTATGCATCAGTTTCTGATGATGCCCACAGGGCGAAACATGTAAAACTCGCATACAAAATTGTAAAATCCAAGAAAATCACAAAACTATTTTAATAAATATATTTTATAAATTACTTGTTCATTAGTTGATAGCAATCGACGACTAAACAATTATAAGGCTCGCACCGTATTAAAATCGCCCGAAATACTAACAGTTGCGACGAACAGTGGCGGAGAAGGAGGAGAACACGTGCACACACCACAAATGCGTACTACCGACTGACTAAACAGGAAAAAACAACAGCCAACACTGGCCAACACGCCAGCGCAAGATGTACTGAGCAGTATAGCGAATAGCCGACGACACACGGCGACCGGTGCGGTACTGTTCAAATTTCAAATGGCAGCGCACAGCGTGCTGCGCATGCCAAGGTCGAATTGACAACATAAATAAAGTGTAGAAAATTCGGCAGATCATATAAAAAACATGGAGTGAACATGAAACTTCAGTATTGCTGTCTTATTCTAACTCACCTGCTATCACCACATCCTGATATTTCTATCTCACTCACTTGAACGAAAATTAATAAAACACTATCCATGTTATATATAATCCTAAAACTATTCAAAATAACTAAATGTAAACAAACAGTTACAAGTTATGGACATAACGTACGAAACGTACAATTTATACGCCATGAAGAAATAAATTTTACATCTTTAGGGACCTCGCTGATATTACGCGGATGCCGCATTCATGTGCTAAACCCCGAAAACAAGCAAAATCATAAAAGTTATGTATGAAAATGATAAAGAAATTATCTACTTACAATCTGATGCAAGAATGGTTCTCCTACGATTTCGGGCTCGGGTGCAGAATACCTAAAACAAGCAAAAAGTAGTCCTTTGCAACGCAGAAATGTAATTTTTGCCACTAATTCATGAGCTAATCACAAAAGTTATGTTTGAAAATGATAAAGAAATTAAATACTTACAATCTGCTGCAAGAATGGTTCTGCTACGATGTCGACTTTGGGTGCAGAACACCTAAAACAAGCGAAAAGTAGTCCTTTGCAACACAAAAATGCAATTTTCGACACTAATTCATGAGCTAATCACAAAAATTAGTTATGAAAACGATAAAGAAATAAAATACTTACAATCTGATGCAAGAATGGTCATCCTCCGATGTCGCACTCAGGTGCAATATCCCTAAAACCAGCATAAATTAGTTCTTCGAACATATAAATGCAATTTTGGGGTCAATTTGTGAGATAATCACAAAAGTTATTTAGGAAAATAATAAAGAAATTAAATACTTACATTCTGATGCATGAATGGTCATTTTACCATGTCAAACTCAGATGCAATATCCCTAAAACAAGCAAAAATTAGTCATTCGAACATAAAAATGCAATTTTTGGAGCCAATTTGTGAGATAATCACTTAACTTATTTAGGAAAATGATAAAGAATTTAAATACTTACAATCTGATGCAAGAATGGTTCTGCGACGATGTCGACTTCGGGTGCAGAACACCTAAAACAAGCAAAAAGTAGTCCTTTGCAACACAAAAATGCAATTTTCGTCACTAATTCGTCATTAATTCAAAAGTTATGGTTGAAAATGATAAAGAAATTAAATACTTACAATCTGATGCAAGAATGGTTCTCATACGATGTCGGGCTCAGTTTCAAAATACCTAAAACAAACAAAAATTATTTTTTTGCAGCACAAGAGTGCAATTTTTGTTGCTAATTGCACCTACTTACTACTTGGCTCTTTTGTACAACCAATAACTGCGGTAAGTAAAAACCATAATTCATATTTTATTATTATAATTATTTGAATTGTCTTATTGAATGCAATATAAAGATATTTTCCAAACTTATTCTTTCACCGTCCAGATTAAATGACTTTACAAAAAAGTATATACATAAATATGTGTCAATATAAAGTAATTGCTTGTCTTCATCTAGAGTCCCCTTATCCCTAGAGCAATACTTAATTATTTACACAAAACAACATATTTATTTAAACAATTTTTGGTTTCAATTACAATCATTCCAATTATTAAAAAATGTTGCCCCCACAGCCCCCATGCCCACATGTACAATATGTATAATGTAAAATATAAAATACTATTAAAACGTTAGTTAAACTTATCCATCGTTATTGTAACAGAGATATTATTGTTTACTCATTTACTTGAGGCTTTGTCTTAACTGTGGTCTCAACAGTTTCGGTTTTACACACAGTTTCAGGTTTGCTTTCTTCAATTACAGTTTCTGTTTCATGTTCCGGCAACGTGATTACGTTATCTAATTTTGAATTTGAAGTGTCCTCACATTTGGCAGAATTAACAGGAATTGGTTGACTAAAAGTTTGATTGGTCTCTGTATCAAAAATTTGAGTTTCGCCAAAACTAACACGTTTTTGCACTTTTCTTGGTGTATTATTGGTGCTATTCGTATTGGAATTAGAAAGAACTGATACGGGCGTGACTGGTGCGGATACTTGTGGCTTATAGATAGGTTTGTTGAAAACAGGATCAGTAGGATTAGATTTAGAGGTACAAGTAACAGGTTGTGAAGGTGAAACTTTCTTAACGATAACAATATAATTTAAAGGTACGACGCCCGAACGGCCATTGCAGGTCGCATATGCCCAGCCAGAATTGCTTAGCCGCATTTCTTCTTGTACATTTTTGGGTGCCAGAGTAATCTCGTCGTTGGTGTGCAGAGTCAGTTCATTTGGTGATGTTGCGGGAAAATCAAACACGGCCTTTGCTTTAATTCCGTTTGTTTCCCATTTCTGTGGGTCGCATTTATCTAAAAATTAAATAAATTAAAATTAAAAATAAAAGTTTTTGCAGTGAAGTGTTTTCCAGGTCGTAATTCATAATAATTACTAATTACAATTTCAAATGTTACAAAGGCAAGATGTACGATTGGTTGCATACCATGAAACACATTTTTAGAGCTGTGTTCAGCAATCAAACGTAACCTTCAAACATAATCAACACATCAGACACATGCTTCGAATCATTTCATCATGGATGCATACGATATCTTCAAAAAACTAAGTAAAGGGGCAAAATATACCAAGAAAAACACAAACAGCAATCAAGCAACAGTGGTTCCAATCATTAAATCTGATGATAAAGTGAAAGTCAAAACAGAATCATCAGCACACCAAACAGGAGATACACAGAACACAAGCATTACTCTCCTTGGGGATATCACATCTACTGGAAATAAACCAGAAAAGAAAAGAAAATCTCCTGATTTACAAAATGAAAAACGTCGACAAGAACTTAGAGTTGAAGAAGAGGTAAATCGTTTTAGAAATATTCACAATATTAATGTGGTTGGCAGACATATCCCAGAACCAGCAAGAGCTTTTAATGATTTCAAAATAGGGCAGGATTTAATTGAAAACCTAGTTCAGCTAGGTTACAAAGATCCATCACCTATACAAATGCAAGCAGTTCCACTGATGCTTGCAAACAGACAAATTTTGGCATGTGCTCCTACTGGTTCTGGAAAAACAGCTGCATTTTTGCTCCCATTACTGGAAGCACTAGGAAAACCTAGTAAAAACGGTTACAGGGCATTAATTATATGCCCAACCAGAGAATTAGCAATTCAGACCCAGAAAGTATGCATGCATCTAGCTGACAGTAGAAAACTTAAACCATTCACAATCAATAAAGTGAACATGATAAAAATAGGAGATATCTTAATAACCACACCAAATAGACTTTGCTTCCTACTAAACCAAGATGAAAAAGTGTTAAACTTGGGGACAATTGAATGGGTGGTAATTGATGAAGCTGATAAATTGTTTGAAGATGGTGTGAGAAGTTTTAAAGATCAATTGAAGCAAATTTTAGATGCTTGTACATTGAAAACTAAGAGAATTGCAATGTTCAGTGCTACATACACACCAATGGTGGCAAAGTGGTGTGTGAAAAACATGAAAGGTTTAGTAAGAGTAACCATTGGTCAGAGGAACACTGCAACTGACCTGATTGAACAACACTTAGAATTTGTTGGTAATGAAAGTGGCAAGTTGCTTGCTTTTCGCGACTTGGTCCGGAAGGGACTCACACCGCCTGTGTTGGTGTTCGTTCAAAGTAAAGAACGTGCCCAGCAACTCTTTTCCGAATTGATTTACGATGGCATTAATGTCGATGCGATTCATGCAGATCGCACCCAGCTTCAACGAGAGAACACCGTGAAAAGTTTCAGAGAGGGTAAAATATGGGTGCTCATCTGTACAGAACTTATGGCTCGTGGTATTGATTTCAAAGGTGTGAATCTCGTCATTAATTATGATTTTCCGCCGAGTTCTATTTCTTACGTGCATCGTATTGGTCGTGCAGGCCGAGCTGGTATGAAAGGTAAAGCGATTACCTACTTTACATTAGATGACGCAGTGAATTTGAGAAGCATTGCTCATGTTATTAAAGAGTCTGGATGTGAAGTGCCCGATTATATGCTTTATATGAAGAAGCATTCCAAGAAAGAGAAGAAACAAATGGCTGTGAGCGCCATGACTAGGGATGATATTCTGACTGTTCCTTATGATGAAAGATTAAGAGTTGATAAAGCACTGGGTAAGAAGAGATTGATTGATCAATTTAGAAAACAGAAGAAATTGAATGAGAAGAAGCAAGGGGCTGCGAAAAAAATGTTGAAAGGCGGGAAGCATACTCAGAAAATTGGGAAGACTACAAAAACCTCGTTGAAAAATATCAAAAATGATAAACCATCAAAGCAATTTAAGAGTAAAATTAAGAAAAGTAAATAATGTTAATACTTGAATGTTAATAAATTTGCAAAGAATGATATTGTTTGTTGATAAATTTAAACCTACTCTTCCTTCTCCTAATATTAAAAATAATTAAGAAACTGATTCGCATTTTACAGCCTCAACAATCGCTAATGATACGTTTTAAACTAATAAAAAGTCAATAAACACTTACCTTCAAATTTTGGCAACAATTTACTAATGAAGTAAGGTGCAGAGATCAGAATCCCAAAGAAAGCCAAAGTGGGCCAACTGGATCCAGAACTTCCCGCCGCTTCTGCTGTGATCCCACTAACTGCTTCATTCCACGCCAAGTTGTTCGTAGTCGGTGGTACTTTGACGCCCATCATCCCGCAGAGTTTCCTATGCAACCACGAGAACAATCGGAAAATATTCACCGCATGCCAAATATGACCAAACATCGAACGTAGTCGTCCGAAATTTTCCGCAACACCGAGAACCGCACGAAACGAACTCGTCATTGCAAAAAATGTGTTGTCTAACATCATTGCAATGCCATTAAATGCTCTCACAATTGATTCCACATTGGCAAAAGTGTTTCTTGAGCTCTCTTCAGCAAACTGAATAAATCTACAAACATTAATAATTATAGTTGGAGTTTATATTGTAACATGTTATGACAGGAACTAATTTTACCTGCTCTCAGCATCATCTCTTACACCCATTCCATTCATATAACTGTTTCCATACATTCCATAGGATGATCCATAGGAACCACTGTAGCCACCATATCCACCATAACCTCCATAACTGTTGTATCCACTACCATAGCCACCACTATATAAACTTCTTCCAGGCCACCCTAATGATCCATAACTGCCATATGAATTACCCATTGCTACAACATTAATTTAATCAACAAATGTCTAAAAATCTTGAATTGTCATATGTCATGTTTAATGTGTATTAAAGCAAAGAAAATATACATGAATAAGGTGAATATCCTGAACTATATCCTCCATAACTCCCCATGTTTAAACTTTGTGGTCTAGGTGGTAATGAAGGTGGTGCAGCTGTAGTTGTTCTCAACCCACTTAAGCCAGCTGGTAGCTGTGAGCTGCTGATGATTTGTCCTTTGTTTCCCAAGCCATTGGACGACTCCCATGGCTTCAGCGGCGTCGTCATTCTCAGTAGCACTGAATTAGTTACACACGCAATGCACAAGCATGACAATGTTGCGGACGACAACTGCTAGTTGTGTACGCGACTGGTGAAATGCGCGTTCCTCGCTGAACTTTGCCCACAACATTGATACCACTCCTAGCCTCAAGCAAACGCAACGCCTGATACGCCGTCAGTTGACGCTAGAGGACAGCTGGAGTTGGAGAATGAGATAAGAACTGGCAAGTCAGGGTGATTCGTCACAGATTTGTTATTGTTTCTTTCTTTGCACGAAGCAATTAGCCTATAAAACAGTGGGTGAAGCAAGTGTAGTGCGCTGTCATTTCTTGTCATATGTGAATTGAAAGGGGGGATTGGGTTGAACAAGTTCGAAATTGGAATTTATCAGGCTTTATTTTTAGATTTTTATGATTGAGACAATGATAAATTTTAATATGCAATCTGTCGTACATATATTTTAGCATTAGCAACAATAATTTTGTTTTGATATGTGATTCACTTACGAAAGCAAAAGAGAAAACGTAACATTTATAGATTTAACGCAAACTTTCGTTATTTTAACACTTAAATTTTAGTGTAAATAATGTAACGCACTAATAAACCTTAAATAATGGCTTTTGCAGAGAAATACATCCTACAGACATTCGAAATTATGATTTATATAGTGATTGATTAGTAAAAACAACTAGGAAAAATAAAAAAAAGGAATGGCCCATGAGGGGATCGAACCCGCGACCTTCGCGTTATTAGCACGACGCTCTAACCAACTGAGCTAATGGGCCAGTTGCTTTCCATGTAACAGTTAACAGAATTGAAAAAGTACTTTATTTGCTCCTTACGCCATATCCTTATTTTGGCAACTCTTAGGAAAAAACCAAACAATTCCTATAAAAATTTAACAATCGCAACAAAAAAAACAAATAGCTTCAGTGTTTTTCTTATTTCGTATGTCGTAAAACTGTAGTATGTACTGTTATATAGCAATGTTCATGCTTTTCCTACTGAAAAACAGAACCAAAGCAATATTTATACATATTTCGCAGTTTCATCGCATACGCGCTCTAGCGCAATTAAATTCTTGCGCACCAAGATGCACTACCGACCGCGGTGTTGACGTTCCTGCCGTGCCGCGGTCCGAGCAGGACAGAAAATAGATCAATATGCTAGCGTTTGGCGCTCGGTGGTCGACGCTAGCGCTTCATCTGGCAAACACGGAAGCTTTCAGGACGTTCGGGCACACGGGCACACGGGCACCAGTGCCGCAGTGACAGCGCTCCACCAGCATTTGCACGGCGCAAATCCGCACCGCACCGCAGAGAGCGCATCGCGACCAGGTTAAATGGTCCGCCTTGACGCATCCTGAATCCATCAGACTGCGCGTTGCCCAACGGCCGAGAAAAGTCACCGAAAGGATACCAGCGGCTTGTGAACCCGGAAGGCAAGCGACCAGCGCTCGCAGCTCATTCGTACACGAACGATACATATCCAGAATCAATCCTTATACAGGATAGAGCGCAATATTTAATTTCGATGTGATCAAACCACACAATTTAAACTTAAACTTTTAACCTTCCCCAAGAAACCACCGTTCACTTCTTGGTTCTACTCAATCTACAACCGTCTTAATAATAATTTATTTAAATAATAAAAATGTGAAATCCTCAGTGTTCTTATGCCCCGTCAGCAATAAGTTAATTTACCATCATCATATTGATGGTCCTGACATCTTCATTGTTAAAATGAATGTGTTTCCGAAATAATTATATTAATTAAGTGTGCGGAATTAAAACAGACACCGAGATTAAAAGTGGAAAGTGGAGCAACAGCAGAGCTTGACGGTGTGGCAAGGACGAATCAAGGATAAACGGATAACAGCCTTGAAAAGTGGGTGTGCTAACACGCATGCATATCTTGCTCGTTTATGTCAAAATGTTGCGGAAGACTTTTGGTCGCCTCCACCATGTTTAATTAATTGCGAATGTTTTTGGGATTAGTTTCAAGGAGTGCAATTTGCAACGTCTGGACTACAAATGAATCAATATAATTGATTTTGAAAGGAACCAGCGACTGGACAGATCGCAAGGATCATCAAGGATGAATGTATATTATAAATATTTCATCGCTGTTACAGGTAACATTTTATTTTCATATTATTTATTTGTTATAAAAATTGCACTTGAAAATACTTTAAATACTTGAAAAAAATCTTTAAAATAGGGTTTTTTGGTATAAATTTATTGTGATGGCGTTAATTACTTTGGTGATTTGTAAATTAATATGGTTAATATCTCAAGTGTTAAATACGTGCGAGTTTGGCGGAGGTTCGGGTTAAGTTCTCAAGCGCGCGTTTTATGAAAATAGCTTTTGCCTAAAAATAAAACTTCCCGAGACTTTATGTAGACAATACGTCGACGATATGTATATTCGTCAAGATATATGCAGACAGACTATAATAACGTTCACGTGACATGACATTTTATAGCGTAAAAGATTAAGAAATAAACAGTAACTTAGGATTTCGCGCGGATCGGAATTTTTCGGCAACCCAAAAATTTTACTGAGCATTATATTATATATTCTCTGTTTTTCAATGGCAAAAATACATTAAAATGAATAAAAACTTACAAGAACAGAGGATATTTTAGTTTGTTGTTATAAAGAAGCTACACTATCCTTTTAAAAACGGCAAAGAAAGATTTCCTATAATGTGTACATAAAATAAAGTACGTGAAAATTATGAATTTGGCTTACAGCCAACGTTTGGTTGCCTACATAAACTGCACCAAGCTTAAAACTACCAAAAATGCAAGAAAAACAATTGTATTCCTAACAAATTCAAAAAATCAGATTTTACTGAAGCAATTCATCCAAAAAATAAATAGCTATACTTTGAAATTTGTGTATACGAAAAATGTTTAGGCTTCACATTCTTGCGTTTAGCTTTCGTGCATTTGCGGTGTGCAAATTTCCACACGCGATCTGTTTTCTAAGTAACTTGCAAACTGGTACTGCTACCAATGTTTGTTTGAAATTCTCCGCAGCGTGTACATCAAAATTGACGCATTAATAAACAACCTATCAAGTTCAAACACATTAAAATAATGGAACATACCACCGCACATAAAATTTCCATAGTTAATTATTAAAAACAATTCATTTTCAGTTGTATTGATGACGTTATTCGCGTTCGGTGACTTGTCGCGTTGTAAACGAAGCAATTGTGAGTCTTACGCTTAAAATAAATATTTAATACTTACGTACGATCCCGTTCCTTCTATTGAGCATCATTATCTGTATAATCGACACCAGGCGAACACGGCAGAAACAAATTAATGCACGTAAACGCAAATCAGTCAACGAATAACCAGCCGCTGTGCAGATGTAAATAACAGCAGTATACAGGCAATAAAAATAATTGTAGCAATCGTACATCGCCATTAATACTATGTAGAACGCCATCTAGATATCTAAATCTAAACTAATTAAAATTTACCTGAGAACTAACGGATAGAATCTTGTATCTGACTGAAAACTGAAATTTCTGACTTGTATCAACAATTTGCATTCTTTGTCGTTCTAGAATCTAATTCTTACGTAGTCAGTGTAATTAATAATATATGATCTTTTGCTTCAAATTACAGCGATATTGCTAGCAATAATAACATTAACACATGCGGAATGCCAAAGTAAGTTTACCAGTCTCCTAGACACATTGTGATCACAAACAATTCAAAAATATACGCATAAATCATTAAAATATTCATAAAACACAACAAAATTAATAATTTTCTTGCGTATATTTGAATTGTTTTAAATTTGTGTGCTAAAACTCCTCGCATATTTATTGAATTGTCCTGTTTTGCTTTATTTCTACTTCTATGCGATATTGATCCATGTATTTTTGTTAATTTACCCTTTGCAAAACTGTGCGTGTTGAGAAATTATTGTGTTTTAAAGCACGTTGATTGTCATTGCTTGTTCTGCGCGTGCGTATCATATTAATGTTGACGCTCTGCGGGGGTCTTCCGACCACCCGCGGCGCCACCGTCGTCATGCTTACAGCCCGCCAGATCTTCTGCTACGAATGCGACAGCTGGAGCGATCCACGCTGCAAGGACCCCTTCAACTATACCCTGCTACCCAAGGATCAGCCACCGCTGACGACATGCAACGGGTGCTGTGTTAAGATGGTACGACATGCTCGGACACGTAAGTAAACATAACCACACTTTTTAACAGGTTTCCTATGCAAATAATGTATAAATGTACTTACATCTCTCGAAATAGACACGATATAAGAATGATTATAATGTGCTGGCGTTAACTTACGATTTCAGCTTACGAAGTGGTGCGACGCACCTGCACGTCGCAACTACAGATCAACCTCTTTATGGTCGATCACGTGTGCATGATGGAAAGTAGCGGCACTGGTCACATGTGCTTCTGTGAGGAGGACATGTGCAATAGATCACCCAAACAATCGATTCCGCCAACGGCGGCAGTCGTCTTCCTTCCCGTCCTTCTAACTGTGCTCGCTTCCCAATCGCTGCTGGCCGGTGGGCGACGTTTGCTTGACCGATGATACACTGGCGCCCTCTGGCCACGCTTCCACCTCCAACCTTAAATTTCGTTTGTTTAAATAGAAAAATTGATTGGCAAAATTTGGCCGGTGGTTTTATACGATTTGGACTGGATGTTTCGACAAACGATACCAACCCACTTTTGCCCATCTTTCTATTAGACCTGATTTAGTTATTTGCATTTCTTGGATGATTGATTTGGTGATTTATTCGTATTGAATATGCTGGCGTGATCTATATGATATATACGTATTGATAGATGACTTATGCAACCATGCAAGCAAGCACTACTGTAGGCTGCAGTGCGGCGAATAATTTTGACTTTTGATGCGCGGTTTGATATTCTGCATGTGCATAATTAAATACCTTTGACGCCTGTGGTATTATAAACGTTTAACAGGCAAAGATATAAAATTTACATCAAGTAAATTCAATAACAGCTGAAAAACAAACATTTATAATACCCAGGCACTACACTCGTAGCTTTTAGTTTAATTTTAGTAGAACTAGTTTAAATTACACGTGAGAAAATGTTTTGAGCGTGTCAATGAATTGCATGTGAAAAGAATTAAAACTCTCAGTATATTTTCTCACGAAACACAATTTGTTAAGATTTTCACATCGTTCACATTTGTAAATATATAATTTGAAGTAGGCAACCAAGTTGACATAACCGAACACATTGAAATTGTCATGATACCAAACACACTCGAATAATCAGAGAAACAATGAGCTTACACACATTGATCGCTTCAAGTAGATTATATATAGTTAATTAATTAAGAGTGGCAAGCTATTAAAATTAAAAATGCTATTGATAGCGCTGACACAAGTTTTCATCAGCAACATGCATTACTTTCAGTTCATTTTTTCCGTTTGCAATCAATTAATTTGAATATTTAATGAAAATATACATTCCGCGAACGTTGAATAAGAAACATTATAATTACATTCCATTTCGAGTTATAAAATTAGTTTGTTTATCGATCAAATATTTATAATATTGTTATTTAATGTTTAAATATTGGACGCTTTAAATTTTAACGATATTAAGAATATGATTGGCGCGTTAATGGCTCGACAGTATTTAAATCTAGAGTTTAATAATGTTTGGCAGTTATTATTCGGATCTTGGCGTAACCTATTTTAGAGACAATAATTTTTGTTTTCGAAAAAAAATCAAATCTAACCATCTACACTTACTTATAAGAGATTTTCTAATACGACACCAATTAAAATAATAAATTAACAATTGAATTAGTAGTGATACGCACGCGAAAATAATAATTGAAGGAAAACGGTTGAGAATGTTGGCAATGAGTTTTAAAATACTTAAATATTTGTACCTGGCTGAACGACAAATGTATATAGAACAAAGGAAGTATCATGCTCGGTCCATTTTATAAGATTCAAATTAAAAAATTAAATTTTAAATTAATTAACAATTCGGTCACGTAAGATGCTTTTTTAGAAGTAATAATTATCATACCACATACACATAACCCCACCGCTTATTTTATTTATTTTAATTTTAAGAATTACGTCATCAAATTGCGTTCATGTTATTCAAGTCATTGTCAAATATCAATTGCACTTATATTAGTTCTCATCGATTACCTACTCATCGTCTGTAGAACGCAAAAATAATATTTTAAGCTGAATTACTCAGAAGCGTAAAGAAAAAATCATCAAAACGTAAATAATTTCGTTGAAACAAAGTAGAAACAGATAAAAATAGAAATAGCAGTAAAAAGCCCTAGCTCTATTTTATTCTCGTCGCGCTTGTTTCGATTTAGCATGTCATCACAAGTACACTTGCACGTTTTTAAAACAGACCTGTAGTTTGACTTTTTATTGATTTGATTTTAATTGAGATATGCAACACACTGAATACATCGCATTGCGTTTGCACAGCTCACCAGAAAAACCAAATGCTCATTATGAATATTTTGGTTTTGTTATTTTTTGATTTTATCTTTTAGAACCTATATAAATTAATTTCTTGTGTCTATATTATACTTGAAATGAGTTGAAACTTTTTGAACATAATTTGAACATATTTTTCTATTCTCTCGTAATTTGTAATATGTTCTAACTGTTGATTGGCATCTCTGTTACTACTTACTTGTTTCGGAAAGCAAAACTTAGTGAATTTAGACAAATTTAGCATCGACACAAAATCACACAGACACTCGCTTACTTGCAATAAACTTATGAAAAATACACTAACAAAATAGAACATAGAAAAGCAAAAATTAAAAAAGCGTCAAATTATTATTTACATTATAAGCACAAATTTTTAGTCCGTCACTCATTTGATTACACATTCAAAATTTGATAATTATAATTAAAATTTAGAAGTATTGATTTTATCAGCCAAAATTAGAAGCAGAATGTGTTAAAAATAGATGAAAATTACTTTGAGGTAAAATCTAATGAAGACAAGGTATTTTTTTATTCCAACTAAAAATATTCAATCAATATTAATAATTTGATATTTATAAACGTATTAAATTCAAATTAATTTGAGTGGCTTCGTTTCTTGTTCGTTTCTAAGCTCATCATTTTCTGTGCACACACAGAAGCCGTCAAACTGCAAAGCTGAGTTTCTTTAAACAATTTCCTAGGACCAAATTAACTCACACTAATTGGATTTAGTCAAAACCGTTTACTTTTCGAAATTTAGCAAAACTTAGAGCACAGCACAATTACAAATTACAACTACTGTTAAAACAAAACAAAATATTACACCTTAACATTTTAATAGAAATTATTAGTGTAGAATTACCTATTGAACAATAACCTTGTGATCACACAGTATGAAACAAATTGGATTTACTAAAATTTTTCATTTCTTTGGCATTCTAGTACTTAGAATTTTTTAACATTTTATCGTTGATGCGTCTCGACTTTTTTCATTTTCGTTTTTTTTTTTTTCGTTTTGTTTTCGTGTTTTTCTTAGTTGATTGATTGGAAACGTGTAAGTTCACACTTTATTGTTACTGATTATATCTGATTAGTTAACTAACGGTAGTGTTCTTGAAATTAATACATGTGTTTCGTGTTGATGATATATATATTATATACCTACATATATTTGTTGATATGATGACATGACTTATGAGATGAGCTGACATGATATGATGACGTAGTTGAATGATTTTTCATTTTTGTTTAGAGTTTGATTTGTTGGTTTGTTTGAGGATGAATATATTAGATTCCTTTGCCCATATCTTTCTGAAATCTTCTTCTTCACGTACAATTGGAAATTTAATGCAAGTGAAGCAATTTTATTTATAAATTTTGAAAGAAAATAACTTTACCTCAAAGTTTGACACTTTTTTATCGCCTCCCGCCGGGGGGTTGATAAAAAATGTGCCAAATTTCCTATCAATACCCTGGAAAACTAACAAACTGATCAAATTAGAGTAATTTATGTTTGAACATATTTATTTTGTTTGTTTTATGTTTATTCGGTTAGTTAAATTTTTTACAAGTTGAGTTTTGTTATGATTACCAATAAACTAAAACAATTATGCAAAGATTTTCACTCAAGAGATAATGAAATAATGTGTCGATCAAACATCGCATAATTTTATAATTTTTGAACCAAGTAAAAAAACATACAATAGTCTAAAATCACTTTGTATATATTTTCGCACAATTTTTTACAAACTCTAGCAAATCTAAGCTAAGTGCACACACATTTACAATAATACAAAAACCACACAAAACACTTGCGCTGATTTGCGTCAATGTTTTCGAGAAAAAAAAATCGTTGTGTGAATTGAACTACACTCAGTAAATGATAAATTTACGAAACACTCGGAACATATTATTTTGCGTTTATGTCCAATTAGTTTCATCTCTGTCTCTCTATCTATGTCTCTGTTTTTGGTTTTTGTTTTCAATTGTTTCAAATTTGATTCGGTTCCATTTTTCTTGTGTTGTAAAAAAATTAACTGTAAAATTAACCAGAAAGTGCAACTAAAACACGTCCGCTAAGCATCTTTCAGCAATTTTAAATCTATTGAAAGTCCACCTCACAGGATGCCGATACCGTTCTCACAAGCCGTCATAAGAACGTCACGTTTTTATGATGCGCCATCTTCTCGACCATCATGTCACTACTTACATCATTGTACCAGCCGCCCCAAAATGGTGTCCAGCGCCTAACGACGCACTGCTTCATGCGCTTTCATCGTGTGCCCGTATTGCGAAAGCCGATTAATCGCTCTTTCGAACATTTGGTTTCTCACCCAACCCCCAAGAACACACACTCAAGTACAAATTTCCGCTCCAGTTGTGCTCAGATCGACGGAAATTCGTATTTCGCTTCCGAGGTACATTCGACCTCGCTTGAGTAAACTGATAGTGCACACTTTATTATATTTTCGACGCATAAAGGGTGCATTAATCGCATTCGCGCAAAGTGCATATCGCATGCGTCGGATGGGCATCACCGAAAAAAGGGGCGGTGAGATCGCATCGCAAGCACACCATCAAGAGATCTCAACACACAAAAAATGCAATATTGTGATTGCGGCAACAAGTTTTAAAATCTGTACACTAATTTTACATATTACCTACAATATTGTCCTACGATTTTAACTTGACAAACTTTTACAACTTTGAGCGAGCATGTTAATGATAGGTGTGTTAAACGAAAAATCAGTAAATGAAAACAAACAAAAAACAAACATGTATCTTGACTAGGAAGTTTTAACTTGAAATTGTAACATTTAAAAACAATATTAGCTTGTAATTGTACCTTACCTGTCTATGATTGTACTTTCTACCTACAAATATGCATATAAATGCATCACCACACAAATGAAACCTTTAAAAAACTATAAGAAAACTGTTTCCAGTCAAATACTCTCGCAACAATTATAAAATAATACTTGAAAATGATGGTAATGTTTGTTCTGGAATAGAGTTGGTTTTTACCGGGCACAGTTGAGTGCCTCTATTCTAGAAACGGACTTTAGCATTTTTGGCGCATAAAACTAGTGTTGGAATACAAATTTATGAACAAAAACGAGTAATAATATAGTCATATCAATCACAAGCAAACTTAATGAAAGAATTGTACAATAAAAATAATTATAAAATGTTCTGAGTTTTGGATTATATTATCTTCGTTTCTTTCTTTTGTTAATTTAATTTTAATAAATAAATTATTGTTACCCCTGAGATAATTGAGTTTGTTGTGTTTTCCTTGCAACCAATAACTTTTATACGTTTAAATATAAATTATTTGCTATTAAATTTACAAAACAACGATATTTGACATCACTTTATTAGTTTTAGTTGAAGTTTGCATCCTAGCGCCACCTATGAACAAAATTATCAGAAAATCATTTACTCATTTACTCAACTTTAACTTCTGGAAACTTAAGTAAAAGAAAAAAAATTAATTTAAACATATTCTAAACGTTTTTATACGTTGTTGTATCATAATTACATAAAAATATAGAATTCAAAAATAAAACCAATTTTTATGCGTGTTTTTGTGATGCGAAAAAATTGAATTTTAAATGAATGTGCTTCACCTTTAATGCTTCTAGCTTGATTGCAACAAATATAATGTTATAATAATAACTTATTCCAAACTCATACCAATGTGTATACACATCTTTGAACAACTAACACACATATCTAAAGCAAATACTGTATTTGTTTGAATTATGTAAAGTTCAAAGTTTTGTAGATACTTTATAATTAAACGCTAGCATCTTCTACAGGACGATACCAGAAAAATATCTTATGTTTCAAGTAATAATTTACACAACATAAATTTTGGTGGCCTTCACAACTTATTGTATTTTTTAAATAGATTTTTTAAAGCAGTTAGAAATGGCGCAGCAATAAAAATAGTTAATGGTGTTTTAAACAGTTATCGCTTCAAAGTTTAAATTGAGAACGCATAGTATTGCAATATTTTGTAAAACGCTAAATACTAGAATCAGAGTACACAAGTTTGCGCTCATACGTTGTCGCTGCTGGATTATCACAATGTTCAATCTGTTTTTATCAACAGTCCGAACGAAATATCGGCCGCGTCGTTTAATTTCTAGTCTGCGACTTGATGTCATGCGAGGAGAGCTGTCTAACCTAATTCGGCTTGTTCATGGAGTGCAAAAACACCTCAAAAGAAGTGAATTTCAAATCGATTGCAGGAATCAAGTCGAATTCTTGTATCACTGCTTAGCGTAAACTACAAAACGGCGTCAACGCGCCACGGTTAAGTGCCATTACAGCAACAAGGCGGAGTAGGCGAATAGCGCGCGCGCGTGTCCTCAACGCCCGGCCGGGTCTACCGACGTCGCGACGACGACGTCGAGCGCTTGTCAATGTATGCGACACGCGTCCGCCTGCAGAGTCTACTAGTAGGTAAATAAACAAAACAAAAGTGTCTCTCATTTTTGCAAAGCGATCGCGGTGGCGATGCTGAAAATGTTATTGCATCGCCGACGATTGACGGACTGACATTGACCTTTACACATCTGCATCATGGTATCATTAGCATGCGCTTACTGTCATCACAAATGCCACTAAAACATTGAACCCCAATGAAAAACAAATTTTGAAATCGCTATAGTTCATAACGTTCAATAACATTTATTTCAGTAAATACTGTAGTTATAGATATTTAAACCTGAATCTAACCTACAAACAATTTCAAAACTTTAAAATCTTCATTTTAGGTTTTAAAGGATGTGTGCAACAATTAAGACTAGCAAAATACAGCAATGCTACACAACATTCAGAGTCCATTAAAATACAGAAAGCCCTTGTGGTTTCTAAACTATCACATTATGAATTTGAGATGATCAGATACAATGAACTTGATAAGGATGAACTGGAAACTAGAATTCGAAAGAGAGGAACAGACTTTGAGAAAATGATGTACTACCACAACTTACATAAAAGCTTTGAGTTGAATGTGGTACAGCAATTGGAGGGTTTGGGCATTGAAGTTAAAGTAGTCAACAGGTAAATATCAATCAATTTAACAAGAGTTTAAATAATAAATTTATATATCTACTTTAGACCAGACTATTCTGAGGATTTAATAGAATGGGCTGATATTGTTATGCCAACTGGTGGTGATGGAACGTTTCTGTTTGCCGCCAGTCGTGTGCGCAATCAAGACAAAATGGTGGTAGGTTTCAATTCAGATCCAAACAGATCAGAAGGTCATCTCTGTTTACCAAAAAAGTTCTCATCTAATATCAAAGCAGCAATTGTCAACTTACAGCAAGTAATATCACATTTGTTTATTGTTTTATTTAAATTTAATCACATTAATGTATTCAGGGAAGATTTAAATGGTTAATGCGAAGCCGGATAAGAACTACAGTGTTTGGACAAACAGGTTGTAAGTTAAATCCGCATCATTTGCATGAAGTGAAAGAATGTGATGCTTTGAAATATACCACAGTCGAAGAAGGTGGCACAGTGCTACCTTATCTTGCGCTTAATGAGGTGTTTATTGGCGAAACGCTATCCGCACGAGTGTCACATCTAGGAATGTGGCTGAATGGTTCTGATCAGCAAACGAATTTAAAAAGTTCAGGCATATGTATATCAACTGGTACAGGCTCGACATCATGGAATTTGAGTATTAATCGATTACCCGTGCAGAGTGTCTCTGAACTTCTACGGTTGTTAGATATTGACGCTACTGAAGGACCCGAGAGTCTTGCCACTGTTTTAGCGAAAATGTATAATAACAATTTAATATTCCACCCAGGTAAGTTTAATTTATTTAAAAGCGTTGATAAAACATTTTTACATGATTTTAATTTAATTTATAGAAGATAAACGAATGTGCTATACCATTAGAGATCAAATCTCTGCTGGTGTATGGCCCCAACCTAAAGGCATCAAGTCCCGTGGCTTTATACGCGAGTTAAAAGTGAAGTCCAATTGTCTGGATGCTTGTTTAGTTATAGATGGTGGAGTTAGTTTTGATTTTAATGATGGCACGCTAGCGATTTTACAAATACAGCCGGAAGATGCCTTGCGGACAGTAATAATGGACGATTAAGTTGTTAGAATGACGTTTTGGTTCGCAATCATCCCGCATTTTACGCAGCGTACCAAAAGATTGTGATACGCGTTTTTAAAGTTAGGTTCAACCTTTATATTTTACCTGTTATTTTATATGTTTTAAAATTGTTTATATACAGCCAACTCTTGTTTTAAAAATACATAGCAATATTACTATTATACATAGTTGGTTTTGTTTAGTATTAATTAATTTACTTGATTACTTGTTTTGCGCTGGTGGTAGACTTGATGGGTTTTACATTAATTGCTTTAAATATGTCAAATTCTGAAGCGATTGCTTCTGCCGCCTCCCCTTGCGCAGCGAAATCTTCTTCGTCCCCTTGTTGAAGAGGCCTGTAAGTATAATATTATTAATTATGGTGTTTTTAGAGGTTTCAAAACGTTGAAACTTACTCATACCACTTTGGATCTACAGTTTTTCTATGAGTTAACTTTATAAGATTCATTTCATACGTGCTTCTAGTGATAGCCATCAAGTTTTCCTGGCGACAGAGCACTCTGTGCTGTCTCATCAACTCAGTGTGCTGATGTTTTACTCGTAGGTATGCTAAGGTTTCAGGAGCTTTGCAATTGTCTATAATGGTTTTCACATTGTGATATTTTGCTTTAACGACACTCAAATCTTTTGATGTGGCAATGATTTCATTGGTAAATTCCTCCCGTTGTTTTTCGCGAGTTTCAATACCTCTCTTTAATTTATTATACGCCACTTGTAAACCCAATAAAGTTTTCTTTGTGGTTGCCAATTCGAGCGATGCGGCACCGTTGATTTGCTTCAGTTCGACTAGATGAACGTTTTTCTGTTCTATTAATCCGGCTAGGTGATTATTTCGAATGCGTAATGCTTCGAAGTCACTGTTGGAAAGACTGATTCCAAGCTCTGATTTTTGGTCGAATAGGGCTTTTAACTTGGAATAGGTGACTTTCATATAGGAAGTATTGAGACGAATTCGTTCAGTTATAAAACGCGCTTTTTTCATCCATTCGTGCATGAATTGAACAAACTTTTCAGCGGGTATGCGCTGTGTAATTGGGTCCACACCGTCGATGACAACGTTTTGTTCAAATACAGCAGCCGCATCTTCAATTTCTTCTAATCGTATTGTGGCCTCTTCAATTTGTACTTTGAGGCGTTTGCAATCGCGCGTTATTTTCGCTTCAAACTTTTTCATTGTTTCTCTTAGTTCATCCATGTATCGTGCAGCAAGATCTGCACGTGTCGATATATTTATTCTGAAGTACATTATAAGCATTAATAAATAAATTATTCTCGGAAACATTTATTTAACATTTTAAATAAGTTGCGGCTTTATTTTGAAAAACCTGCCCCTCTTTCTACATCACAGCTAGGTCAAAACAAGCTAAGTTAACCTAAACATTTGCTTGCTTCTCATAGTCATTTCTGAGTTTCTAAAACATTTCTGTTTGCATTGAATGAATAAGCTATTTTGTTAAAAGTGTGAATTTGGTTGTAATGGATAGCTTAGTGCAAATCGACAGTCATCTCATTGATCTCGTTGACGACGCTTGGCGTTCAGACAAACTGCCAGAGGAAGATATCAATGTTCCACTGAATGAACTTCCAGATCCAGAAGCTGATACTGGAGATATCAACCTGACCCTAAAGGAACAGGAGCAAAAGTGGACAGATATTGCACTCTCAACACTTAGTGAGCACCAATAAACCAACAATTTTAAATTTAAATCCTTTTACAAATAAATATTAACATGGAATTGCCAAGTATTGGCCAACAGTGTGAGGACCCAACATGCAAACAATTAGATTTTCTGCCTCTCAAATGCAAATGCAACAAAGTCTTCTGTTCCGAGCATTATGCACTACATATTCAAGAATGTGCTACAATGAAAGAACATTTTAAGGTAGCAAATCTTGATAAAAAATCAGGTATGTGGATCTGTTCCCATCCTGATTGTAAGGAAAAGAGCCTGGTACCTCTAATTTGTGAAAAATGTCATCAACACTATTGTGTAGCACATAGACATGTTACTGAGTGTTACAAAGAAGATCCTTCAATCAAACAAGCAGCCATAGCCAAGATGCAAGTACCAATAGCAGAATTTAATGCAGCAAAAGCTAAAGTGGATCAAAAGGTAACCATTCTTTTTCTTTCCTATTTTATGCAAATAAAAATAAATTGTATGTTTACAGTTAGATGAAAATTTGGAAGCTGCAACTAAAAAGGGTGCAACAAATAAAAAGAAGAGTGAAATGGCCTTGAAAGTACAACTTATGCGCGTCAAGAACAAAGCGACTGGCCTAAAAAGCATCCCATCAGCAGACAGAATTTATTTCAATGTAACCACACCAAAACAATTAGGTGAATCAAAGAAAGCTGTGTTTGTATCAAAAACATGGTCAGTGGGACGCGCAATTGATGCAATTGCAGACGAATGTAAAGTACCGAATCGTAACAACGTTGCAAATGCAGAAAAACTACGTTTGTTCACCGATATACAGAATGATACAGACTATATACAAGATTTGAGTAAAATTTTGAATAATTTAGTGCATGACAATCAATTGGTTGATGGACAAAATTTAAAACTTGAGTATGTACAACCATAATTAACAGTAAAATCAATGTATATCAATTATATATCAGAAAAATAAAGAAAATTGAACTTACTGTGGTCCTAATACAAATGGCATTGTATCAGCTGTGATAAGTTCTTCAGACATTTCAAAAAACCGTGGTAGAAGCGGATTTGACTGTTCCAGAGCTTGTATTTTTTTGCATGCTTCCTCAAAAGCTACAATACACACAATTTTAAAGAAAATATTTGTGGATTTTGCATTTACATACTTGAAAGCATTGATGGTTCATTATCTTTAAGGTATTGTATAAATATTTCATTTTCATGGCAAAGATGTTTGTATTCCTGGATTATCATGTTGATGCTGTTGATAAAATCTTCATCTTCAAATTCTTTAAAGAATAACAATAAGTATTCCTATTTTATGCAACAGGATTACAAAATTATTTCGGTAATTTATCACTACCTTCAAAATATTGGATGAAAAATTCCAGTGGAATAACGTCCGTGATTTCTAACTTTAACAGCTCATGGGTACATTGTTCCTCGTCCGAAATGGTGGTAGATCCATCACTGTTTGGAATTTCAATGTGTTTGTGTGCAATGGAAACATGGGCCATGATGAATGTAAAGAAGTTGTATATTGGGGAAAATACGTGTAAAAATCAAATTTATAAAAAAATGACTGGAAAAAATATGTCGCAATGTTTAATATTGAGTTGTTATTGTCACTCAAACATATAGTGTGACATGACAATATATTTATATACGATTTTACCATTTTCTACGGATTTATTTCTGAAAACAGATATTTATTCATAATATCAAAATATTAAAAAAAATATGGCGGGCAACATAAAAAATGAGGGAATAAAAGCTCTTCCAAAATTAGAATATAGTACATCGTACCGAAAGGCTCATGCATGGATTGCCCCCGTTGCCCAAAACTTGGACATAGTTGTAAGGTAGCAAAGCAGTTTGTTTGATCGATGTAATTTACGTTGTATTTCCATTAACATAGCGTTCAGATAAGAAACCAAGAAGACAAGCAACTTCGGCACGTGCGCTAGACTTTACTCGTCTCATTGAAGATCACTACAAGTCCGATCATGTTCGTAATTATCCAGCACGTGCAGGTTCGAAGAACCCGTACCATATGACCAAACCACCAGTTTGTGACACCGTTAAGTTTGTGACCACTTTTGAACAAAAAGTTAGTCGTAGTGATTAATATATTAGTGCTTTTAAATGTGCAAATAATTGTTTACTAGCTATTTAGAGATCCTCCACGGCCCATCATGCCGTTTCAATCCGAAATGAAGGGAGCTTATTCAAAGAAACCCTTACCATTTGAAGGAAGACTTGTGTTTCCACCCAACCCATATCGGGTTTGTGCAATGCGGGCATTCGGGCGCGATGAGCAACCACCACTGGTACCAGAACAGCCTGGTATGATGAAAAATCTCGATATTTATATGACTACATCACGGGCTGATTATATTCCGTATTCTGTCATTCAACAACGCGGAATTGCGTGTAAAGACATAGTGACTTATTATGATTCGGTTGGAGTTCCTCGAGGAGTAAATAATTTTTTTATAAGTGTTGCATATATCATATTATTGCTATTGTTTATAGGGGAAGGGTTATGGTCCTAAAAAGGACACTAAGATTGAACCAATAGTGAAAACAAAGAAGGCAGTATATAACAGAAAATGGAAGAAAGTTCAAAATCCATTGCAAACAATTCCACATAGGTAAAAGTTATTGGAGTTATTCTAATAAATGTAAAGTAATATATTTTCCAGAGCTTTTAAAAGTGAATACAGTGAAAATTATCAACCAAGTACGAAGTCAGAGATGGAAGCGTATAGTAATTTATCAACTGTTGCAACATTTCCTTCGATTTCACATATATCTCCTTGGCAAAATATTTGCCCACCGGGAATGTATTGTACTGAAACTTGTCACATAGGTACTGGTTATCCTATCCACGCCGTCATTGAAACTACTCCACCAAAACGCGAATATAAGCATACAATTGGATGCAAATGTTAGAAGAAGAAAACAAAACTCAAATTAAATTAATGCGTAGTAAAATTTAAAATTATTACATATAGTAGAATAATTTTAAACGATGCTTTAGCCTTGGTAAGAAAATAAAAACAGAAAGGCTTTACGATGTCTCCCAGACACTGGATGTCAGTGTCCTCGAAAAGCTGACCCTGTGTCATAGTTCGCTAGTCTCCTTTCGTTCAAGTTCATCGTTCGGGGGTGTGAGAAGTCTGATGCGTCTGGTGCGTTTGTTGGGTCTAGTGCGGTTGAAATGATGATCGCGAGGTCGATGGACCAGACCAGCGAGACCATTAAAAGGAGAAAATAAATCCCTATATAAGCAAAACAAATAAATTTAATTAAAAATGCATTTAATCTGAAATTTAATAAAATTAAAAGATTTATATTGTAAATGTGAATCCTGAAAATCAGCATCTTTAATAAATAAATTTTAAATTACATTAAAACCTTCTCTTGCTTCCTTAAAATGTCAGCAAAATAAATAAATTGGCCCCTCTTTAGATATATTTGTTATTTCTAAAGGATTCTGGTGTATCGTGCATTCCTCGAATGTTTCCAAGAAAGGAGAAAAATAAACAAGCAAAGGATTTACTTTTAGCTTGTTTTTCAATTCGGTTTGCTCGGGTTCGTGCTTGAATTCGTTCGTGTGTTATCGTGCTCATAAACAATTGAACACAAGCGCGCAAATTGAATTGTAACACCTAAACATGTTGATCGACTAAAAATATTATTTCTTATAACACGTTAACTTACTGTTGTGTGATATACGTTGTTTTGCAAAGGGTTCAACAAAAGGAAACAGATTATATTTGATACGAAGTAAACTGAAATAACCTAAGGAATGTGCGCGTTCGAGTAAATTCGAACAACGCGCACATCGCGCACACGTTTATACTCCGTTTCCTTTCCACTTCCGTATACCACTACTTGCACTCTTCTCTCGCAGGACTCAGCCAGCAGCTGCGAGCATGTTAACAGCCGAGCGCAGTGTACAGAATACGAATAATACGACTAGTCATTGTCGGTGCGCGTTCGACGCCGTTGCACTGTGATGTAGCGCGACACACACTGAACAAACGCAGACATCGTCTCCGCGTTCATCGGTAGCTACGAAGACAAAATAAAATAATGCATTTGTGAAGCGTTCATGACGACGAGATACGTTGACATTGCGTTTATATAAGATTATCGCCTTCCAGCAACGACACATAGTGCGCTTCGGTCGTCATTTGTTTACAGTTCAAAATCGAATCAACACTCGTGTTTATTACCCAAATCCACTGTGAACGACCGTTTGCTCGTGGCCTAGCGTTGACCGAAGGGGCGAAATATGAGTTATGCAACTAGGAATAAATTCGAGGTGAGTACTTATGTATTCGCATGCAGCCTAGACGAAGGAAATCGCTTGGGCACAAATGCATCGACGTCAAAACAACGCAGTACGATTGTATGCGAGATTGAATAGCGTACATGTAGGTGCATCTGTCATAATACATTCATCAACGTGCTGTTTTCCGATCCGAGCTGCATTGGCATTGGTTGCATTGAAAACACAATTTTGGATTGTCATTCGCAGGCTTTATTTACGATTAATCCTTCGATTATTTATAAATTAAATGGCAAATATACGACGCCGATGAAATGCTTACTAACACGCTTGTTTGCAATCAGCTGATCACCATCTCTATACACACACTCCTTTTTCCATGGTTCTATTCGCACCAATCATATCTGATGTTGATCTTGTCGCTGGGAGATCTTGTAAACAGCTGTAACGACTTATTGGAAATTGCTGGTTTCTTTCTGGGAAACATCGATAACTGCATTGGCTAATCAATTGCGCTTTCAGTTCTAATTTTATTAAATTCTTATGGTTCAAGTATAATTAACAAGCTGGGATGTTATTTTCATTCATTTTTCAAAATTTACTTCAAATATTGACTTTAGCTAAACTAACACTTGATGATCATAAAAGCATTACTCATCTTTTGTTTCAGTTTGTTCTTTACTGCTTAATAATAACCTGTTATCAACATCTCACGTTAAGTCAACAACGCATTACACATATTCTCCTTATTCTAATCCCTCAACTGTAATTCAAGTCTTTTTATCCGGTAATCTTTGTTGTAATTGAAATATGAACAAATTTAAATATAGAGTTATGCGCGAATAGTCAATATTAACATTTTAATTGGCAAAATGTTAGAAACTATTTTATTTTCGTCGTGGCGAAGCGCATGCACTATTTACTTAAATTAGTTACCATCGTTAACGCGTTTTGGTGAATGTAGTGTGTAATAAACAGCTTCGTGGTTTAATATTCTCGCGCATAGCGACCGAAATGACGTAGTGTAACTGATTTTGTATGTGCAGCGCAGCGATATGATAGCACATTTTGTATTGCTCCAGAAATCAATGCTTAAATGATCTGTATGCGCGCGGAAGCTAAACCAATATCACTAATAGGAAAACATTTGGTACTTGATGTCAATATGTATGTAATATATTATCTATATTTTTGCAAATAAATTGTTTTTCTAATTTGTCAGTGTTGTTAGTTGTGTTATTGGCTTTGAATTTTATTATTGTTTACTTATTGCTTTGTTTATTTCACTTTTTGCCATCTTAGATTTATAAAGAAGAAAAATAGGAAAATAAAACATCAAATGTAAACTTATTTGATTGAAATAGAAAAAATAATAATTCATCAGCCTCCCTAGTTTTAAATTGTGCATTTATTAATTTATAGCTTTCACGCGGGGCAAAATTTTTGGTTTTTGTGGGTTATACAAATAAAACAGATTAAATAAATCTTTTTTTACACAATAAACTGCATTTATCGTATTTTTGTATTATCATTGTTGATCTATCACTACACTCCTAAACCCCTTTAATAATTAAAAATACAAATACTGTACTATATAAATATTTTCCGCGTGGACGAAGAAATGAATTTGGAGTAAGTGGGCTTTCGATATATCATGACTTTTTACTGTGTTTTACAATTTCTAATAGCGTGTACATAACTAAATAAAACATTTTGTTTTTCATTCTGTGATTTTTTTCAGTTAACGAAGGCATTTGCGGATGACGAGGCACAAATAAACAGGAAATTGCCCAAAGAACTCCTGCTGCGCATCTTTAGCAATTTAGACGTCGTTTCGCTTTGCCGATGCGCACAGGTATCGAAAGCATGGAATATTCTCGCACTAGACGGTTCGAATTGGCAACGAATAGATTTATTTGACTTTCAAAAGGATGTCGAGGTAAACAATCTTAAATTCATTACAACTGAACATATATTCTATTAATTGGTTGATTTTTCTTTAGGGACCGATAATAGAAAACATATCTCGCCGTTGTGGTGGATTCCTGCGGCAACTGTCTTTGCGCGGATGTCGTTCGATTGGAGACAGCTCTATTAAGACTTTGGCGCATCAATGCCCCAACATCGAGGATCTCAATTTAAACGACTGCAAAAAACTTACAGACTTGACATGTCAGTATCTCGCCAAACACTGTTTGAAACTTCAGAAGCTCAACCTGGACAGTTGTGCGACGATTACAGACCAATCGCTTAAGAGTATTAGTGATGGATGTCCTAATATAACACACATTAACGTTAGCTGGTGCGGTAACATTACTGACAATGGCGTGGACGCGATATCTCACGGCTGTCCGCGACTACAGAGTTTTACCAGTAAGGGTTGTCGACAGGTAACATCGCGCGCAATAGTTTCTCTTGCAATGCGCTGCCAGCAATTAGAAATGGTAAACATTAAGGCTTGTGGTAACGTGCGTGATGACGCTGTTGTGTTGCTCGCTGAAAAATGCAGCAAGTTACACTACTTATGTCTATCGGAGTGCGCGCAATTAACGGACGTATCGTTAAATGCACTTGCGCAATTCTGTCCGTATCTATCGACTCTGGAGGTTGCAAATTGCTCGCAGTTCACTGATGTTGGTTTTCATGTGCTAGCTAAAAACTGCAGGTATCTCGAAAAGATGGATTTAGACGAGTGTGTTTTAATTACTGATCACACCCTCATTAATTTGGCCATGGGATGTCCACGAATTGAATACTTGGTGAGTTGTTGTGCCTGTTGAAAGTCTTCAAAATAATTAGTTTTATTGCTTTTTAGACACTTTCACATTGTGAATTGATTACGGATGAAGGTATACGACATTTGTCAACATCACCATGTGCCGCTGAGAATCTAACAGTGTTGGAGCTTGACAACTGCCCCCTTATAACCGACGCATCGTTAGAGCATCTTACCTCCTGCCATAATTTGCAACGTGTAGAACTGTATGACTGCCAGCAAATTTCTCGGGTCGGAATTAAACGACTACGGGTAAATAATTTAATTTATATTGTAGTTCATTGTTTTGTTTATATTTTTTGGTATATTTTCTTCTAGAATCATTTGCCGAACATAAAAGTGCATGCGTATTTTGCACCAGTGACACCTCCCCAGACTGCAGGCGGTACGCGTCAGAAGTACTGCCGGTGTTGCGTGATCATATGAAAGGATGGCTCTTAAAACCCGTCACGGCTGTGTACTCACTGTTTTAGTGAGATTTATCAAAGAAAGGATAACTACTTGCATCGCAACACAAATGAAAGTATAAAAAAGTTGGACAAGAATGGCAAAAACGTGTAAATTCAATATTACTCAAGTAAACATTTAATATAAAAACGACTACAAATGTGTTCAGCACGCATCATACTGTTACATATTGTAAGATTGTCACCGTAATTTACACAAAAATTACAATTAAAAGTTACTTATCCCAAGTGAGAATGAGAGCCAAAACGAACTGGTATGCACTATTAAATTACCAGACTGAATGCCGCTCCGAAATACAAGCGAATGTTGCAATCCTACGACGTATGTTACATGTATGATACTTCAAAAGTGTCTAAATTTATAACGGTTCGGCTAGGAGATTTTCTTTATTTTTGTTTAAATTGCAAACGTTTATTTATGATTTTTTTTCTTATACAATTTAATAAAAGCAATGCAATCAAACCACCGTTTGTAGTTGTTTTTCAGCATTAAATTCACTCATGATTTATGCAAAATTTATAAACTTGACATTCTATATTTATACAATAATCAAGATTTTTGATTTAAAAATATATGTCCATATTTTTCATATTTCTTCTCGCACAGAATGGCAAAAAAGTATTTATTTTAAGATTTGTTTAAAACAATTAATAAAAAGTCTTTATATGTGGTAGATGATGGATAACTGTGCATTTTATTTAAAAAATACAATGTTTAAAACATTATAAGTTTTAATATGACTAAACTCGAAATGTATATAAAAATTGATCATTTTTGAAACGAATAAAGTATTCAAATGTGTAATTTGCATGAAAATATAGTTTTTCTTTATTTAAAACCCATATATTCAAACAAACTCATTTCAGTGTGTCTAACATATAATTGTCGTGAAATGACATAAAAAGGCAAAAGATTCCTCTTATTATATCAAAAATTAAAAAGTTGCAATTTATAAATTCTAATTTTGGATTCTGATAGATTATGTAATTCTACATCGAATATTTAAGTAACAATTTTTCCAAATATTGACCGTTTAGGCCCTATTTATAATTTGAAGGAAACATGATTTCTCGCATAAGCGAATTCAATTATGGTGATTATTATAAAAACGGTACATCTTTGAACAAAATTTTATTAAGATAAAGAGTTCCTAATCATATCTTCTTAATTATTCTGTATTAAAAATGTCAAATTTACAAATTTTATTTTTTGCTTAAGAAATGTTAGAGGAAACGAATAATCCAGTTTTTCGCACTTAATGTGAAAACTAATGGAGTTAAAGGAAAACTGTTTTCACATTTAAATAAAAGGTACAATTTTACATTAGATAGCACTTTAATATTTTCAATTATCAATAGTTATGTAATAAATGAAAATGGTCAATAACTTAAAAACTAATTAAGATATTGGAACAAGACTTGCCAAAATGGATTCCTTGCATCATTCTGCACCTGATTGAGAAGTTTCAAGAAAATCTGAGAAGTGGTTTAATTTGGCCTGTACCAATTTTCTCCCAACTTTTCCGAAATATTTATGTTATCGGAAAACTGACTGGATATATTCCATCGCATTGCAATTCTCTGTAGATTAACGTTTTCCATTTTCTTCTAGCTTCATTTTGAATTTTTAGACCAAAAAATCGGTAAGTGTAACCTCTTGATGATTTTGAGTGGTCTTTGATCAACTTCATAGAATCAAAAAACTAAATCTGCCATTTTGTAGATCCGTGTTATCGCATGAAGAAAATGCAAGAAAATTTGCTGAAACTCTTATGGTTTCCGAGAAAATCACGTCGGAAAATCAGTTTTCACTACAAAAAATTCATTTTTTTTTAAATCTCATTGTCTTTAGAATTTAAAGCTGAAGGTCACCCCGTTTTCGGTTTTTGATTATCTTAATTAGTTTTCGAGATAATGGGTTATTAAGTGTTGTAGCTGGTACATGCTGCAATGAAATACGTCTATTGAGCAAACCCTTAGACCTATTAAGCAGAAAGTTATTTAAATAAGGTAATTATAAGCTGCTCTACATAATGGTGTTATTACTTTTTAATAATTTTTACTAACACAAATTAAAATGTCAGGCGCCTCCGCCAGATTTTTCTTAATTTATTTAATTTTCTAACAAATTAAGAAACTGAGACTTTCTATTACTGATTATCATAGGAAATAACTTTATTAATAAAATATTTTAATAACTTTTTGTAATATAACTGATAATTTCTAAGATAGCCGTTAAATACAATGTAAGTAGAGGTATCCTGGATGAAGACATCCTAGGGTCCAAACCAGGAATGCTAGAATAAAAAGTTACTAGGATTTATGGATAATAATTAAATGTTTGTTTAGAATCCGAAAACAGAATTTAAAAATTCCAACTTTTAATTTCGAACATAAAAAAGAGAAAGGTTTTGCCTTTTTATGATGAAATCTTTTTCACAGTAATTCGACCGAAAAAATTTTAGGTAAAAAGTTTGACCCTGTCTTTCGAGACAAAATAATTTTAACAAAAAATACGACCCTGTCTTTCGAGACAAAATAATTTTAACAAAGAAGTTCGACGAATAAGAAAAACGCCACGAATTCACAGAATAGGCATTTTGAGGCATTTTTAGTTAGTTTTAGTCAGAAATCGTGAATTACATCTTTGGTGCAGAAGATATAGGGTGTTTTCCAACTTTCCGACCATTGAAACACAAAGATTGCTTATGAAATAGATCATTTATTTTAAAGTTGATTTTAAGCAAACATTTACCAGATGAATACAAAATAACTCAAATTACAAGAAACACATTAATCTATGGAGGATTCGGTGTACCCGGAGAACCAACCACATCAATAATCTCTGCGGTTGTAGTCTTAACACCATCTACATCGCGATCGACAGCTGCTGGACCACTCGGCATCAATTGAGCAGGAATAGTTAAGGTTTTTCCTGGTGCAAGTGCCTCATACTGATGTCTCAAAGACTGCAGTTCAAACTCACATGTGGTCAGAGCTGCCTTTAACTCCATTACGAGCACCATATCACTGCGTAATTCGTTGAAACTCTGACAAATTTCTTCTGTAGGAGTTGGGTTTAATTCTATAAAGAAACAAAACAATCAGAACAATTCATGATTTGAATTATAAATAACTTGCCCATTCCCATATCCTGCAACATTTGTTCTAGTCCCTTAGCTTTCTTCTGACCGACATTCGCGGGTAGTTTCATGCGTTGCGAACGTAGAGAAACACCACTGTTTTTGTAATCCGGAAACTTAATGCCGGTGCCTTCCGCTGCTTGTAAAATTTGCTACAACAAAAAGTGTCCTGCATTAAACAAAATATCAATGCAAACTCATAAAACGTGGAACGTGTTCTTACCTTTGTAATTACTGTAGTGTCCACCTTGGACGGACGCGATGGATTCGAGATTTTCTTCTTCGGAAGCTTCTTGTCGGTTTTCCGCGGTGTTTCACTCTGACTATCTGCTTGACTAATCAACTTCTGCAAATCTTGGGTCTTACGTTCGCGTTCCTTCTTACGAGCTTCGATTTTCTTGAGTTCGCCAACTAGCATTTGCTCCTCCTCCATCTGACAACGCAAAAAAAAGTTATACATAATCCAGATATGAATACAAATATCATACCTGTTCAGTTGTCCTCTCATATAATTTCTTAAGTTGTTCCTTCCTTCGTTTTTCATGGTCTGCATCATATGTGTAAACTTTTTACCATGCAACTAAAACACATCAAAGATTAATCATTTTGAAGCATAATGACTATTAACAAGTCTCACCTTAGATAAAACCCCAGCAATCTTATAATATCGATCCTTGATATCTTCAACAGACCTTTTACCAAACTTTTCAGTGTCATACCTGTCTGCCATAATCACAAAACGCAAATCGAATCGTTTTGCTAAATCAATGAGGTGATCAGTTTCATCTCTGCTCCAATTTTCACTAGATAGGTGTTCATTGTATTCCACATCAGTATACTCTGATATTTCAACTTTCTACAATTACAATATATTCATATACCTCCAAATATATATTACTGAACTCATACTTTATTAAATTTGGCAAAAGGATATCCTGTAACTTCATCAGCAGGCCTCCTCCAATGATAAAACTCTGCATTATCAGTTCTTCCAGGGTTAGTAAATGGCATCCACTTCCATTTACGTGGTTTTCTCATGCCCAATTTGATTTTGGTCTGTTTATAACCATTAGCTAAAGTATTTAACAAATTTAGAATCATATATACAATATTCAAGATAGTATACATAGGAAACTTTAATTATATTAAGTGAATATATAAAAATTAGAAGAAATTACTTGTGTCTGATGGAAATAGTGGTGGAACATCCTTGTTATCATTGTACAGCAGAGCAAACACTTCTCGATGCATTCCTTCAGGCCGTCGTGGTATTTTTTGCACATTTTGAGGACGTTTTTTCAATTTGTCAGATCCTATAATTGATTCTCGCGTCACTTCTTGAGCAGAAGGCTGCTCCAGGTCCATAATATCGCGCACATCAGCCATGGCTATTTCTTTATACCTATAAATCTGTAATAGGTATAATCATTTATTATAACACAAAAATATGTTAATTTTCGTATAAACATACAATTAAAATTATTTATTCCACTTCCGAAATCTGGAGAGTGATTCTTAAAGCCAACAAATAACCTCACTCACTGGATGTAAATAAAAGCGAAACCAAACTAAACTTGCGCGAATAGGCAACATCAAAACATGAATGGTTGCCAACCGTACATACTGACTATGTCAGAAATGTACAATCCCCTAAATTTAAATCACACTGCGCCCTAAATCTCACCTTGACGGTGGCCAAGTCAAATTACTTGCATAGGTTACTCGGCTATTTCGACTTGTCATTCTTTGTGGGCAAATAATTACGTGTATCAATAGCAATTTTAATAAATTTCATTCATTATTGCCACCAATTGTCTTGTAATTTACTTCAACTCGTTAAAATGGAGTGGTATCAAGGAGGTATCGCCGAGGCTGTGACAGAATCCCGCAAGAATGGATCAATCTTTGTTGTATACATAGAAGGTGATTTTGCAGCAATCATTTAAATACGGAAATAAATCACATTTTGTAATTGATTTTCAGGCAAAGATGATCAAAGCAAGCAAGTGACTTCGACGATTAACGCACCACAAGTTGCAAAAATGTTAAACAGCTCTAATTTTGTTGCAATACTTGTTGAAAAGGATAGTGTCACACATCAGCAATTTTCTGAGATTTGTAAGTCACATTATCACCCTGACAGTACTCTAATTAAATTTTATAGCATAAAATTTGCAGTAATAATGTAAATCTTTGTATATTTTTTATTTGTCAGATAAACAAACAACAGCACCATCAATTTACTTCATTGGCAAGACAGGTGCACCTCTAGAGATAATCACAGATGCATCACTAACACCAACAGATATGGCTAAGAAAATAAATCAGATTCTGGTTAAGAATGGTGGGCAACCAATGGTCCCAATGGAGCTTGAAGATGAAGAGAAGAAAGAAACTTCATCATTCACTCCAGCACCAGCACCAACACCTGCACAAGAACAACCACCAAATGAACCCCTACAAGTAGCACCTTCAACATCAGACAACCAGATCTCAATAGAAGAGAAACTTCGCCTCGCTCAAGAATTGATCGCTAAGAAACGTCAAGAAAAGCAAGAAGAAGAAAAAGAAAAGGAGCGCAACAAAGAAATTGAGCGTCGCCAGTTAGGCAAAGATGTCCAGAAAATGAAGCGCTGGCAGCAGGATCAAGACATCAAGAACCTAATGGATGAACGTCAGAAGGAACGCCGCGAAGATCAAGAAGCTCGCGAACGCGTCCGCCGTCAAATCGAAGAAGACAAGCGAGAAAAAGCAGCCCGTATGAATAACACCCAACCACAAGCGACTCCCAAGGAAGCACCCAGAATGCCTGTTCGCGCAGTAAACAGTGATACAGCACGGCTGCAGTTCCGCCTTCCGGACGGGTCACAAATCACACACGATTTCAAAAGCTCCGCTTGTCTGCAGGAAGTGATCGATTATTTGCAATTACACGAAAACCAGCGCGATTTTATCTTGTCGACCACATTCCCCAAGCGTGAGTTTACCGTCAACGACGCGAGTCAGAACTTGATGGACTTGCAATTGGTGCCTAATGCGGCAGTGCTTGTACTGCCAAGCGTAAGACGCACTACTGTCGCGAATAGTAATTCATCAGGTGGACTCTCTGGCATGTTCTGGTATGTTCTTGCGCCGATTTTAAACTTTTTGGAATACTTGAAGAGTTTCGTTTGGGGCGCGGCTCCAAGACCACCGACGACGAATGAGAACAAGCGACCGAACACAGATACGGATCCACCTGCTGCAGGAAGGTAGGTAAAAGGAGAATTTAAATAATTCCCTGGATGAAATAATTTGTTTTGTTTTTTAGTTCGAAGAAACGATATTCTGGAGAGACAACTGTAAAGAAGCAGGGGAATATCCACCGACTACATGAGCATGATAGCGACGAAGATAACAACACGTGGAATGGCAACTCGACGCAGCAAATGTAGATTAATTATATTGATTGAATTATGGCTTTGAATTTATAAATTATGAATATATTCGAGACTTATAGAGGGAATTGTGTGAAATTTTAATAAATCAATAATCACGATTTACTGATTTTCTTTTAAATTTTGACCTAGAATTATCACTACCACTCTGCTATTGCTAAATTCATTGGTTTAATTCCATTCATCTAAGGTTGCAAAACAAATGAATTTTCAATGTTTTTGATTAACTGAGTGCCAATATGTGGCGTGTTTTCAATATAAAATAGCAATAAATTACCAAATTTACGTCAGAGAATCGTAAACATATGGAAAACATCCTTGCAATGCCCAAAATTTACATTTAACTAAAAAATATGTTAACATTTTCCTGCGAAACTAATCCATTATTAATTTTTATATCTTATTTACATTTTGTAATCAGCTTGTTATTTGATATGAATTCTTGAATTGTTGTTTTACAATGTAAATTTTTAAATGTTAATTCTCAAACTGTAGACTGTGTAATACTATATAAATAGTTGGAACTAGCGCAGGATAACTAAGTTGACATCAACATGAAGTTCTTCAAAGTTGCTATTTTGTTGTGTGCGGTCGTTGCGGTTAAAGGTAAATATTTAAAAATAAATTATTAGGTAGAAAAATTAACTTACCTTTACTTTAGCTCGCGCTCGCCGTGATATCAGTGAAGAAGATGATGACTTTTCTGATGAACCCGGCAGGATCGTAGGAGGATCCTTCGTTGATATCTCGCAAGTCCCATACCAGGCTGTCCTTCTGATTAATTCCCGTGTTGGTTGCGGTGGCAGTATCATCGCCGACCGTTGGATCCTCACCGCCGCCCATTGCGTACCCGGAGTATCTGCCTCTCAAGTGCGAGTTCGCGTAGGTTCATCCAACGCCTACAGCGGTGGCCAAGAACTGCAGGCTGTTGCCATTTTCTACACCAACAAATACAACTCCCGCACAACTGACTACGATGTTGCGTTGATCCAAGTGAACAATGTTATCACCGCCGGCAGAAGGATTAACTTGGCTACCAGCGAACCCGGTGCAGGAACCGTTGTAAGGGTCAGTGGTTGGGGCGCCCAGAATTCCGGTGGTTCCACCACTACTTCTTTGAAAGCCGTAGATGTCTCCATGGTATCTAGGAGTTCTTGCCAACGCAGTTACGGAGCTAGTGCCATCACTCCTAGGATGATCTGCGCTGCTAGAACTAACAGTGACTCTTGCCAGGGTGATTCCGGTGGTCCTTTGGCTATGGGCAACACTTTGGTGGGCATCGTCTCCTGGGGACGTGGATGCGCCCTTGCTGGTTATCCCGGAGTATACACTAATGTTGCCAATTCTGAAATCAGACAATATATTAGACAAATCGCCAATGTTTAAAGTTTGATAAAAAGGGAAAAGGATATTATAAACTATTGCAAGCATATATTTTGACTATAATTTACCCTCAGATTTTTTAATTAAGTAAATAGAAGTAAATCCTCACTTCTAAAAGTGCTTAGATCATTATTCCACAAATTAACAATCTAAAAAGCATAAAACTACATTTTAATGCATAACTCTAAGCCGAAATAAATCCCTTAATCCATTTGTAACTAATCTAAAATGTTCTAATACCAAAACTATTTTAACAATAATAATCCATACTTTGTAAAATTAAAATAATTGCATGTCCTTTGTTTCGTATCAGTCTAATCCGAAATTATGACGCGAATTGAACAAGTCCGCAAAAAATCAGATGAACATTTGGATGAATAATTAATTTCGTATCGCGGATTACACAGATAAACGATATCCTAACGGGTTCGCAGGAATGCGAGAAACGGTTTAATGATTTGGATCATTTTTTAATTTGAACCTAATCATCAACAGTTCAAGTGCGCCAAGTAATTAAATACACTCAGGCTAATAATAGTGCGGAATGGCTTAATAATGATCGATTAAGTGTGATTTATCGCGCGGATTAAAATGCTATCGATCATTTTAAGTGACAGTGGGACTTGTGTACGTTTTTCTGATTTTTATTCATGAATACAAAAAAATATGCTTATAATCCATAAGCATATAATTTTTGTTCAGGTAGAAAAAAGTAATCACTCTGAAGAAACTTGCCAAAAAGACATTCCAACATCTTGGCAGGAATTAAACGTATATAATATTCTGCTCGCAGCGTGCGTTCTGCGATTGGTGGCAAGAGTGTCGTTAGTTTTAATGGGCGCGCTAATGAAACAATCCGGCGTGGCAATTATGAGAAATGACACATTCCGCCGGCGGACGGCTGTCCCGAGACGCTCGTTCGCCTAAAGGCGGCATACTTCGGGTGGGCGGTCGTCCTGGCATGTCTTATATCTCCTTCTGTCCTTCCGGTGGCGGCGTGTGTGACACTCGCGCGCTTCGCCGCGATGCAAACGACGGCGCTGCCACAAGAGCTAAATTAAACCCACGCCACCCACCACCGGTGCGCGGAACGATATCTACTTTATTATATTTCACCTCGGCGAAAACGCCCGTCGCCGCCCCCACGGTCGAGCAATTTAATCTGCATAACATTAAAACGCGCCGCGCTGGCTCAAAAAGCACGAAACGAGCCTAAATTAAGTCATTTCCAGCCGCTCCCGCGAGATGATTAATGTCTACATCAAGATCTTGAGTTTGGTCTTAATTCCAACTCAACTAACACGCCGAAAATTTAATGTAAAATAAAATAAAAGTATAGAACTCAAGAGTTTTATGCTTTTCGTTGTGATTTTTTCAATATAACGCCATTTTGATACTAGCATTGTTTTTGTTTTCTGTTTTGTGGATTTGGCGTTTCCAGTGATGGCCTCGTTTCGATGCGAGTCGCGTCTCGAGGGGATGAAGCTCACCGCGCGCCGCCAGACTATGATTACCGTTAAACCACAATGTTAATTGCCGCCATAACGCCGATGCCGAAGCGCGCCGCCTCGATATGAATACAGACTACACATAATTAGAAGCACTCGCACCCCCCGCATGCTTACCCCTCGGAAACTAATTGTATTTTAGCGTTTCACAAATAGAAGATGCAGTTGAAGACATGAATACTCAACATTCAACATCTTCTACATTCCAAGTAAAAACTAAAACTAATAAAACACTTGGTGATATTTTTAGTTGTTTTATCGATGAGTGATTGAGTGTCGAGCGACGATTTGCAAAAAACGCACAGACTAATAGGCAATCTCGTCCTCGAGAACGCTTTAACTGCCATTTGGATGCCTTTTAGGCGCATTGGGGCTGGCGTCTGGTGCGTGCGCGAAAAATCATTAATCCCATTTAATCTAAGCCAATTGCGAGGGCGTTAACAATGGCGCGCCGCGCGTTTGGCATCGGGGAATGGCGTCGTAAAAAGTGCTGATTGTTCATTTAAGTTTAATTAGCAGGCGGTGAAATTATCTTTTATGCCTCCCCGGAGTGCCCAACTTTCCTCCTTCGAAACACGCTCGAGCAGCCCCAAAATGAAACCGACGAAGAACAACGCCCAAAGCAGGACAACTGAACAAAATGAGTTCTAGATTCGTCTGAAAATATCCCGTAAGTTTATATTTGTAGAATTTTTTTCTATGTGAAAGTCACGAGATTTACAGGAATAGATTTTTTCTAGTTTTTGATAGTTTTTACGGACGAAAGTTGCTGTCTGAGCGGAATTACCCCGCAGATTAAAACGGCAAACGATGTGGGGTGAGCTGGAGGCGGCTGTGGGGGTGGTGAGTCTCGACGGCCATTAGCGCTACACACCGCCCGAACGGCGCAATTAGCCGAGGACGGAACAAAAGCGTGTCCCCGCGCGTTTTTTTCTTTTCATCGTTTTTTCCGAAGCGCGCACATTCTTTTTGCTCGTCTTTCATTTATTTCGTTACATTAATCACTATGGTCGCGCGCGAGCCACGCGAAATAAAGAAATACCAAACAATCGCCATTCGTATTTCCAATTTGCCATCAATTGCACTAAATTGCACTAAACTTAAAATAAAATTATTCCGCTTAAAATCAAAACAAAATCAAAAGCACACATAATACAAACTATAAAATTTCAATTTCATCTTTTGATGGCATAATATAATATTGTCGGAATGTCGGAAGATTTTATTCGGGTTGTTTTTTGCCTCCGCTCGCCTTTGGGGTGAAGCGCGAGAGTGCGCCCCCGACGATCATTTATCTCCCGGCCCGTCGGCCAGAGTCGAGTCAGGGGGTGGCGTTGCCGCCGACGCCGCCATCCCCACTTCGGCGGCCACGCACACTCTCACCAACACACACATTTATACATCCATACACTCATACGGCTACAAACCGGCGCACTACACTTTTAATTAACAGAGCTAAATCGTTTAATGTGTCCCCAGACATTACTTTAATCTGGTGCTAATTATAACATCCCTTCCAACGGTCGAGCCACGTTCGCCCCACTCGCTTCTTCTCGCACCCTTCGAGCTCCTCCGACTGCTCGAGAATTTCGCAATTCACAATTCGTTAATTTGCATTTACATTTTATCCTCGAGCAGCAACAAAGCTCAGTTAATAATTTTTTCAACCAACACTTTTTAAAAATGGGTTATAAAAATGATTTATTTTTTAGAAACAAAAATAATTAATTTTTTTTTATCAAATATCAAAATAAATATAGATTAGGACTGTAAGCTGCGATGGCCCGTTGTTTGTCACGTATCGCCTGCGCTAATGACAGTTAATTTCGCTTAATCAATTTAATTAAGCGCGAACTCGACTTATGGCCAAATGAAGGCCCATAAATAAACATGAAAAAAAAGCACAGCCGGATTGCGTACCTATGCGTTCACCATGCGCACGAACATACGTTCGATATAATATTTGTAAAGTGAGATTATTAAGTCGCTAATACTTGTTAATATGTGTTAATACGCACAGCAATACCGAGCAAACAGACGCGCAAAACGCAAAATGAACTCATTCCCAAACTCAGCTCCGAAAGCACTGTGAGGTGAATAAAAATATACACACACGCCGCGTTTGGTAGGTGCCTATATGCAAATAGAGGTAACATGAGAGTGCGTGAGGGAGAAATGAAAATCAATTTCTAATATCAATAAACAAGACT